TTTTTTTTTTCATATTTATAGCCACATCGTTTTCAGCTTGTATGCGTAATTCTTTTAATTTAGCTTTCAGTGTTTTTTGAAATTATATAATAAATATGAAACGAAAACGGTTTGATTAAAAATTTTTCCAATTAAAACTACTAACATTTACAACATAACTCTAGAAATTTGTAAAACTTTCAAGATTTTTAATTGCATGTGATTTTTTTGGCCAAATTTTTGCTTGTGAGTAAAATATTGTTGTTAACTGACTTTTTTGGGGGAAAGATGTCAGCAAAAGATTAAAGTCCTCACCTGATATTTTATAATTTTGGAGTCTTAAAATGTTACTCCTAAAAATTATCTAATTTATATTCCCTTCGTTTAAAAATATAAGATATTTTTTTAAGAAGTTAAATATTAAAAATATAAAATAATAATAGTTTTTTAAAATAAAATATTATCTTTTTTTAAATATTCTTATTGAATAACTTACTTTATATTTATTTTAGAATGAAACGCCATATTATTTAAGAGTAAATATAAAAAATAAAATTAATTTAAAAATAAATAATTATTTTATTAAAAAATAAAATTTAATTAAAAATATAGGTCGAGTACGAAATAATAAAATAATTTTAACTAAACTGCATCTCAAATTTTTTTCATCTTTCTACTCTATCTACAATTAATGCTCATCATTTCCTGCACGGGAAAGGTTGCAAGTATAATTCACTTCAAGGTGAGTCAAGTTTTTTATAGGCATTTTAGACAAAATCATTAATTACTCCAATAAATTTATAACTTGTATATTAAAACACCTCACCTTTCATAATTGTTCCATTTTATGTTGGAACTAGTTGAATAGTTTGTTTTGATCTTTAAAGTAAGATCTCAATCTCTTTCATCCCCTTTAAATAGTAATTGTTGATGAAAATAATTAAGAAGGGAAGGTGTTTTAAGAAAAGTAACACACATTTTTTTAATAAAAAATTAAATTAACTAATTTTTAAAATCATTATGAATTAGTTATCTAACTCACGTTCCAAATTAGAATGAATTACTATTACAAACAAATAGAGTACTATTTTTCAAACTAAACTTCTTTCCTTCTTTTCCCCCTCCCACTTTGCCCCTACTTTTCCATCATTAAGATTTAACTATTATTGTAAAAAAAAAGTCATTATAATTCTAAGTCAAAATTTAACTATTATAATAAGATCTAATGGTGAGCTACGGCAAAAAAATAAAAAATAAAAAATAAAAAATCTAATAGCGTGGAAGGGAAAGAGAGGGTAGGAAAGCCAAGTCCTTGTTTTCTTCTTTGATCATAAAATGTAATTGCCACTTCTAATCAATTGCAAACAAGCTTGTACTTTTGTTGTTATTATTAATTTTTGCACTTAAAGTATTTTGGTCGGATCACCTAGCGGCTTCAAGTTCTTGTCAAAGCAATATTGCTTTTTAAGTAATTAAAACAAAGCAATTTGCCTCTAACGTTAAATCTTTACAAGCATTCATTAGTCAAAGTTAGTGGGACTTGCTTCCCACAAATATGTGTGACTTGGCTTGAATTTTCTCTCTTATTTCATTACTTAATTCTCCACCAACTGCCATCATGAATTTAGCAACATCATCTCAGGAAGACGATGACTAAGAGCTCTAAAATGAGGATTGCTTCACCTACAAGCGCAAGAGGCACCGTCTTAACCTTAACCCCATGGCGGCTCATGTTTCATCCATTGCAAAATGTGGATCAATTGGCAGTGTTACAGCAATAGAGATAGCGCAAGAAGTGAACCTTGTTGAAGCTTAAAGATAAGCGCCAGAGAAAGATCGAACAGTGGGATCTTTTGTTGATTGCCTTGCGTGTAATGAAAGAGCAAGCTAATCAATTTTGACAATAATGAGAATTTAGGTCTCCTTCTTCAACGATAAAGGAGAAGGCTTTTATTGGTGTGTCGTTGGTTGAAACGGCCAGACAAAGAAGGATGATGTGGATTTTCGACGATGAATTGCTAATGGGATGAATCTGGTATTGCTAAAGAAGGTAGTAGTAGTCTAGGTCCTTTTGAAACCAAAACAGTAGGCAGCAATAAGTCACCCACACTAAAGAGGTTGCAAGCCATGCATAAACAGGAATCATCTAAACTCAACAATAGAAAATGGATTCGATTCGAGTTGCTAAATACACTATATAAAGATCCACGTGTCAAAGGAGGAACTTGTGGAAGCCAAGTGTGCAGAGGCATTATATATGATTAGGCATTCTCATGTATAAGCAATGGGGTGTCAGATAAAGAAGATGATAATTAATGAGGTTGAAGTTGTCAGACAAAGGATAGGTCAAATGATGTGGCAGGACATTTTGGGTCAAACTCCTTCCCCTCTTACCAACTTAACATTTAATGTTTGAGATTTAACACCGAGGATAAAATTGCTCTGTTTTAATTACTTGAAGGGCAATATTACCAGGACAAGAACTTTATGCTACTGGAAGCTTATATTGAAATATTTTAAGGGTAAAAGTAAACCTTTACCTTTTATTATTTTATCCAAGCATCTGGTTAGTAAAGTACAGGTATGTGCATACTCACTTGTGAACATATAATGCCTAAGTATAAGCAAGTGAAGCTCAAGCACTATAGCACACAAGAGTAAAAATAGGTCAAGCTAAGTTTTAGTTATAAATAGGCATGAGCTTATATGGTAAGCCAAAAATCTAAACCTAGCCTAAAATTTATATGAGATTTTTTATGTGGCTCAAGCTTAAGCCTATCAAAAGGTTGCATGGCATGGAAGCATATTTAAAACCTATTAAATAGATATATTTTTAAGACTTCAAAGGCCATAAAAGCCTAATTATCTCGCAATAACACAGTCTAATAAAAATTCAAGAACATGATCTACTTAAAATTCAACAAGGAAAAAACATCATGTAATAGTAACAAGAATGTCTCAGTCAAAGTAAATTGTAACATGATGAAATATAAAGAGACAAGCTAATGGTTTTTTAGCACTGTAAGTCTAGAACAACTAGACATTTAGAACACCCAATATAAGGTGCAACGCTAATTAGGCCTTTAATATTATCACTTATTGCTCAAATGGATCCCACACAATGAAAAAATGAATTAATAATAGAGATATAATCAAATACTTGTCTAAAACAACCATTAAAAAATGCAATGAAGTTAGGGTTCTTATTTTTTTTCTCTTCAACTTAAATTTATTACAGAGCCAGTCTCCACCATAAATGAGGATTCCAATAGCTTATTCATTCAATTTAGCATAGCATTCATTAATTATCTTATCTCTAGCACTAGATGTAGATTTTAATCAATGCCACAGTTAGGATAAGAACAGATCATATATCAAATGCCATCTCTGATAAAACTTGGAATTACTACTCTTCCACCAATTCAAGGCATAGAAAGAAGCACCATAATTAACAAGAGAAATATAAGGATCATTCTCTCTGATCTGGCCAAAGGAATTGATTGTCTTTAACTCACCATTGATAACATTTGTTGCATTCTTGTTTTAGGTCTTCTTTGTTCAATAACTTGTGAAGTGACAATGCCATTAACACCTACTCGTCCAACATTTGAGGATGGATTATCTTCACACAAGTCTATGTATTCATTATACAAATTCCACAATATCTTTTTAACCTTCTAAACACTTTGCTTAACCTCACTTTTTAGCTAGTATGTAAATGAAAAGCTTATTTCAATAGCATCTAACTTGATCCTTGAATCCAAAACATTTGCAATAACCATCAACAAATTATATTCTCCCTAAATCTGTCAATTTTTTTTTTCATAGGTTACGCCACTTCTTTAACAAACAAATTTGAATCCTTTGATACATTATCAATTATTTATTTCACTCTATGAACTTTAGCAAGATGTAAGTTAGAAATAAGGTATTCACTACTTAAGATGATATTTATGGCTTCGTTGAATACTTTCAAAAGCTAACAACTTTTATCAATTTTCACCCAAATCCTCATTCTCAGGTGCATAAATATCATGCAACCCTTTTTGGTGATGATTTATAAATGGATGCTTAAATTTAACTTGTCAACAATGAGAATGTAAAACTCTATCTTGCAGGCAATCAATAATGAGCTTTTTTTTTTCCAAGCCTTACTCAACAATTTTACAAAATAATTTTAACCTTATGTCAGAGACATTAATAATCTTGATATATGATACTCTATCTATTAAAAAATATAAAATATTTTTTACTGAATTTTACCCCTCAATAAAGTTATTACCTATTTTCAAACTAACCTTATCTTTTTATATTTACTTCTATTAAACACCATTTAATAAATATAAAGTTATTATCAATAAAAATACTTTAAAAAAATGATAATGATTACATCTCAAAAGACTAAAAATATTTTATATTTTTTACATTTCAACTTTTTAAAAAATACCTTACATTTTTAAATGAAATAAGTATCATAATATTTGATAAAACATATTATATAATAATTTATATTTTTAAAATTAAATAGACTAGCCTATCAAACTCATATACCGAACTTCGTAAAAATAAGCTTGCTTATAAATATAAACTTGATCTATTTGCATAAAAGAGGCTAGGTAAGATTAAGGTAGGTTAAGTGATAGATCCTTTTTAATTGTCCAATCTATTTTCACCCCTTGTTACAGGTCATTTCTAAGTTCTGGGCGGGGCCCAAATCGATAGACCAATGTAAATCCACCATCCACAAAGATATCATGAAAGGGACGTCACACCACGCGCCGATTGAGAGAGTGATGGAGGAGGACAAGTCAACTGTTTGAGAGCGGAACGAGATTGTTATTGGCCAATTAAAGGAAACCACGAGTTAAAATCCTCGAAATTCCTCGGGGTAGAGCAAGGGGTAGCGCATTGCACTTGATTCTTGAAGCAAAGAGAGAGAATAGAGAATATGGTGCTCGCTGTCAGGATGCCACGTACCCCTTTTCTTTCCAGGAGTGCAGGACACTCTCGAGTCTCTCATTGGCTCCGCCGTGGGACCAATCACAGGCCTCGAATTACGCATCCCAGATACGCCACTTTTGTTTCCGCGGGCCCCACGAAAATTAAAATTCATCCAATCACATCCCTCTACTGTTTTCTGTTGCCCTAGACACGTGTTGCTTCTTCACCCAGCCACCGTGCTGCCGTTATCATTTTCGTTTCCTCCCTCTTCCCCATCCCTTCTCTCGGCAAGGGAGAGAGAACAAGCAACTTCGGCTCATACCTAGGAGGCGCACGACCCCGATTAGGAATCCCCAGATATTTATGGACCGTGGAGATGTATGGAGCAACCTAGCCGCACGTGCCACCGGGGATGCCGCTCGCGATAAAACCGTAGTTAACAGAATAATGCTCAGATTCCGTCCGATCGCGCCGAAACCCGTCGCCGGAGGTTCTGCCTCCGGAGCTACGGTGCCGGAAAACACGAGTAACGTCTTGCTTTCGGGCAAGAGAGCGAAGCGGAAGTACGTTAGGGTTCGGAGGAACAGTGGATGTGGGAGAAAGGATAATAATAATAATAGATCTTCTGAGAGATCTGGGATGACAGACGATTCGGACAACGCGGTTGTGACTCTTCAGTTGATGCCGGAGAAGAGTGAACCGTCGGGCGGCTGGATCGCCGGGAGATCATGGTGTAAAAACGCTGATCTGGACGTGACAGTGGAGAAAGTCGAGATCTCGGGAAATCCGGAACCGACGAGGCCGTGGACAACGACGGGAACCACGAACGGCGCGCGGATGGCGGTGGAGACGTGGGTGACGGTGGAGAGCGTGGGGTACACGTGCACGAACTTAGGAGGATTAGGTAGCACGGACGCTGAGAAGGTAAAGAATCTGGAGAGCGACACGTGTCCGGGGTTCGTATCAGACGGTACGGGCAAGGTCGGATGGGTGAACGAGGCGTACAGGAGGATGGTGAGAGGGAATGAGGCGGGAGGGTCACCAGAGGAGGTAGTGGTGCGGTTGAAGGTGAAGGATAACGTGATCTATTCATACGAGGCATTTACATGCGGGGTGAGATTACAGTATACGTGGCAGAAGGAAAAGTGGACGAAGATGGTGCCGTGTGATGTTTGGAAGCTGGACTGTGGTGGCTTTGCATGGAGGCTAGACATCCAGGCTGCCCTCAGCCTGGGTCTCTGAGAAACCAGAATTCAGGAGGAAGAGATGGAATAGAGTGCTGGAGCCCATTTATCAGGTACTATTTTACGTTTGAAGAAAATCGAAAACTCATAGCTAGCTGCTCTCTGCTTATTCGCTAGGGTGGGATGTGGGAAGTGGTCGTGGTCCTTTTCTGGTCTTGGTTCTCTCTTGGGACCTGAGAGACGACAAAAGCTAATAAATGGGAAGAACAACAATACCATAGCAATTATCTTACCGATAAAGCATGGCACTGTTCCCCCTGAGGCTTCGGAATGCCTTTGCCTTATTTCTGTATATACCTGTTAGTCTGTGACAGCTCCCACTTTAGCTTAACTATGTACTAATATATATTGGCACTGACACTCCATAGGGGCTAAATAAACTATGGGAATTGTCTATATTCTTAATCTTATAATCTAATTTAATTGTATTAAATAAAATGCATGTACTACTATACTCAAATATTCTTATTCCTAACGTATAAAATAAGAAAAATTTTAATGAGGGATTCTTGATGAAAAATAATAAAAAAGAGGACGTATGAATTTTTAAAATTTCACTGAAAGGTCGGTAAAAAAATTTTGTTTGAATTTATAATGAAAATAATAAAATTATTTTTATTTAAATGAACAATATAATTATTTATTCGTTCTCATACTGTATTATTTATGAAATGTTATTCATTTTTTTATTTTATTTATTTATGAAAATGAACAAGTTATCTTATTATTAAACTAACACTTATAATAAAATTAAATAAAATTAGAGTTATAAATAAGTAAAGTAAAAAAAAAATAATATTTTGTGAGTAAACGAAAGACATATAATATAGGAATGAATAAATTATTTATGTTATTCATTTAAATAAATATAAGCTTATTATTTTTGTCATAAATTTGACAGAAATTTTATAGAGTCTTTTAATGAAGTTTTAAAAATTTAAGAATTTTTTTTATTTTTTATTAAGGGTCTTTCATTAAAAAATTTTTTTATAAAATATATATATATAGAGAGAGAGAGAGAAATTAAAGGGTGAGGGGAGCTGGCGTTTTTGACCAAGAGCAGAGGCTTGTGGCTGAAAAGAGTGGCAGGTGTTCAGCTTGCAAGTTCCAGTGCTATTTATTGGGTAGGTAGCGGCCGCTGTTTGATGTTAAGAATAGCTATAAAAGCAAGCAGAGAACTTAAACATGTTTTAATAATGATAATGGACGGGTAATAGGAAAAAAATAATGATGATAATGTTGAGGAGAGGACTACAGTTTTGGACCAGAGAAAGGACCCGATAGGTAGTACCGTGAAAAGTATGGAGTGGGGCCTTACCACATGGTTCTTGTAGAAGATGAAACTAAAGAAATTCTTGGGTAGGTTTAATTAGCAAGTTTTCAGATAAATATTCAAATATTAATGCTATATGTAATATAAAAAATTCTCTTAAAATAAGCTTGAAATAGACTCACATTTGTACAGCGTTCGGAAAACGGGGGGAATCCTTTAATGTTTACATTATTTTATGCTTTAATATGTGCTTAATGGAATCAGTTATTATAAGTATTTTTATAAGAAAATAGAGTAAATAAATTATATTATTCATGACATATAAACACTGCAACTTGCTACTCGTTTTGGTCCTGGTTGTTAAAAACTTAATACTCATTAAAGATTACAAAAAAGAGAAAAGAAAACTCCGCAATGTTATATCAAGTTCAAACATCATGCAGAATTATATACACGAGAGTTCTCAAAATTTTTTGACAATGTAATCAAAGGAGGAAAAAAATTTGACGAAGAAAAAAGAACCATAATGAAGCAGCTTAAGATGATGGATTGAAAGAAGTGATTGCGATCAATTTGTTTAAGAAATATAAATAAACGAAATGTTGTTTAACTACAGATAAAGAAAGTTACCTTTGGCATTAAATTTACGAATAATTTATTAATTTGTTACGTAGGTACTACTTTTTTATGCACACTGTAAGATAGAGATACACACACGCATTTATAATATTATGTGGTTGAAAAACCTGCCTCATTATATCTTGTTTTCTTGAAGAAGAGCGTGATCGAATCGTCACCATAATGAAGTTAGGGTTATTAATTTATTATCAGTTGTGATAAATGAAGGAGGATTTACAACAGAAAAGAAACAGATAACGTGGGGGAGGGGTAGTGGAACGTGGCAGGGATGTAACACCTAATGCGAGACAGTGACATAAGAAATCTTAGCCGAGATCCGCTCATCTAAAAAACTGCAACGTGTCTTATATGGTACATCCATTAATTTTGGATGTAAATATATCTAAACATTCTTATTCTTTGGCCGTCACGATCGTGAGACTCACGCATCACGATTCTCATGAAAAGACAGCCGTCTGGGTGGGTCGTGAAGTTCACGAACATGCTCTCGAGTGGGGAATCGGCCAGACCCGTTTAATATGGACGAGGCCACGAATAGAACCCAACCACGTGTGGTTATTCTGGAACCTCCCCAACCCCAAGTCCCTCTTCTCCACTTCATCCCACAGTGATGTTTTCATTGGAACAGCCCACGTGTACCATGCTTTCGGCAGTGCTGGACACCTTCTCTATTCTGATTGGTCCTTTGGTGGGACCATCTCTGCGTACTCCATTGTGCCGGGTGCATCACTTTATCGCTGGCCCAACACCACTCTACCAATGGAATTGGACTTTTAACTGGACACGTGACCGATCTCCTTTGCCTTTTTCACCCTCTCTCATTGCCCCCTCTGTCTAGTTTGGTAGCGACTTGGCCCACCGGCTCCCCTCCTCTTGAGCCCTCAGCGGAAGAGAATAATTGCTTCGGAACCTGCACCCGCACCCGCAGATCGAGAAGAGAGAGACACAAATTTGGATCCCACGATGACCTGGTGGTAGTGCTGTGCTAGGTGGGTAGGATAAGCATGGATGGCGGCGAGGGGTGGCGCTCCGTGAGATGCGCCGGTAGTGTGCAGGATAAGACGATGATCAACAGGTTGATGCTAAGATTCCGACCCATCGCTCCAAAGCCGGAGGTCGGAGGGCCTCTACTTGGTCCATCGCCGACGTTTAGGGATATCGCCGTTGTTCCTGCACGGAGAACCAAGAGAAAGTACGTTAGGGTTCGGAGGAGTGGTAAAGAGTCTAAGAACGGTAGGGAGCGTTCTGTAGCACAACTAGAAGAACTAAAAAGCAGGTCGGAGACCACGCTGCAACTGTTACAGGAGAATCGTGCGGAACAAAGGGTCTCATCAAAAGGTGGAGCCTGGGATAGTGCTAGTATGTATGAATGTCAGGAAGATGGTGGCCCTTTTATTCGGCTGAACTTGAACCTGAACTTGAACTTGATGAATGATCGTGAGGAAGCGCTAGGTGAGATAGCAGTGATGTCTCCAAGGAGGAAGGAAGCGGAAACGTGGGTAACGGTGGACTACGTGAGTGAGACGTGCATGGATGCGCTAGGGTTAGGGCGTACAGACATGGAGAATTTAACTAATCTGGGAGGGGATACGTGTCCAGGGTTCGTATCAGACAGGTTAAATAGGGTTGTGTGGGTGAATAGAGCGTTTAGGAAGATGGTCATGGGCCTGAATCATCATGAAGATGAAGAGCCACCTGAGATGGAGGTGAGATTAGTGATGAGAGAACGATTGGCGTACAGTGCTTTCACGTGCCAGTTGAAAGTGCAGTACACGTGGTGGAAGGGGAAATTCTCGCAGATGGTTCCTTGTGATGCGTGGAGAATGGACTGTGGTGGATTTGCATGGAGGTTGGACGTAAAAGCTGCCCTCAAGTTGGGTCGCTAACTAATATTAAACGAGATCAATGTTGCTTTCGAAGATGAATCGTACAGGTATAGCAAATAGTAAGCAAGCTGAATATGGTCAATGTCTCTTATCAAAAGTAGAATGCTAATCGATAAATATAAATGTGTGTGGGGGGGGGGGGGACGGCAGGATCAATACTCAATGGGGCCAGATTAGGAAGACAGTCTCTATCTATAGATGGGGTTAGGCGGATTCTTCACTATCTCAAAACAGTAAATATAAGGTTTTGTTTATCAAATCCACGAAAGCTGCTGACCTATTTGCTTTTCCTTCCGTAGAATCGGCAACGAACTAACCAATAGTTAGCAAAAGAAAGAAGGCATTGGATAAAGATAACATGCACCCACCAAACAATATTCACATTGACCCTACACACCCGACACATGGAAAATACTTTGTCATCTAGCTTTCTGGGAAGACCAATACGCTGTTAGTTTATTGTGCAAAATCACTGACTTGCTGTTGCAGGGCAGTTTATAGGGTTAATTGGAGAGAACCTGAGTTGGCCTTGGGTTATATGTAACGCTATGGCAACTTAGCAATTATATATCTTTGTTTGTAGTGTGTATACTGTATATATGTAGCCATCACATTTTTGCAACAGCTGGGCCGCACCCTCGTCCCTTGCTTGACCTTATAGCTAAATTGTGAACGGAGCTGCACAGCATGTCTATCCACGATAGACGATCAATCTGAAAAAGAATGAGCGCAGGCTATACATTATAAAATAAATTAGGGATGCACTTAAACAAGATGCATGTATAGATTCTTTATAAGGTCAACTTATCCTACTCAAGTTCTATACTATGGCGCTTGGTATTTGCTCCTCAATTTATGCCGGTGTTTCTGATATATCACATACGTATCTTTTATTCAATTATATATGCTTATCAGAATGCCTCGTTTTGTGAAGAATTCATATTATCACATTATGTATCTATTCAGGGCCAGCATGCGTAACTCTCAAAAGTATATTCAAGGCACATTTAGGATATGTTTTTATGAAATCCAACAAATAGTTGGATCCCTCAAATGGATTTTTGTTAGATGCAAATCGAAAACCAGATACACACATAGAGAATCAATATTAAACTTCGAAATCTCCCTGGGAGAAGCTTACCAAACGCATTATTTATGTGCTTGATTTTTGCCGCGACACAGTAACAGTCCCAAGACTAGATAAAGGTCTCTAGTCTTAATTTGAGTGTGCTGTGGTTCGCTCTTTGTTAGGAAATGCAGCATACACTCACTCAGACTCGCGCATGTTCATCACTTGTCATTGTTATATATTAATAGAATATGAGAGTAAAATTTATGACATAGAAACGTTGGTAAAATTAAAGAATAACATATTCTGAACTATGAGACCGGAGGGTAAACTTGTTTCTTTAGATGTGGGACATTTACTTAGCAAACGGTGAAGATCTCTGCCTTCAAAATATTGATGTGTTGGATGCATGATACGGTACTATAAAATGGAAACTTTTTGTTGAAGGATTACATAAATAAATGTACGGAGTGGTGAAGGAACAAAGATTTAGAAGATATCCAAAGATTTGGTATCTAGCCATTGATTTGCGATATCTTAAAATCAATATTGATTATGTTGATTGTATAGTGTAGTAGTGTACGATGATGTGATAAACCAACAAGTTGAAGAGACAATGTTTAATCAACCTGGCTGCAGATTGGATGCTTAGATAGGGAATATAATTTGAGTTGAAATATGATTCACAAATTAGGGTCAAAATTAATATTTTACGCTTGCTTTAAGTAGGAATACATCTACTTATTCCTAACAAAATTTGACATGGGAAAAAAATATATCAATAAATCCGTTATGATGTACAACTCCGGCTTCAATATTTATCTAATTTATGGCCTCCCCTTTTTTTCTGGGTCAGTACATTTTGAAGTGAACCGATACGGTCTAAGTTGTTTCAAAATGAATGTGGAATTTATTTTCTATTTTTTTAAAAATACCGTACCCACATTGCCCTGTTCTTTATCACTTGAGGTAGTCTCATATGGCTTATAATTTAAATTATAGCTTGTCATAATCATTATTTTTACATTTGAATAATTATTTAGACTTCTATTTTTTTTTTGGTTTTCCATGAGCTTTATTTAAACATGTTTTTAATAATTTGAGTTGATACCTTTTTATGTTTTATATGTGTGTTGATATGTGTTGATATGTCTATATTTTATATCTCATCTTTATTATATTCTAGAAAATTAATAAAAATATATATATCATGACTCACCTATCATGTTATGTTACACGTATATCTTTAGCCGCATCATTACTTTATAGATCAAGCTTTAGCCAATAAATTATAGGTATTTGTCTTTGTCATTGTCAGCGTATACATGGTATATGGTCGACAAATTATTTGCAAATCTGAAGGGAGGCACGTGCTCTGATGTGGATGCGTATTTTATATTTTATCCTTTTGTATTCATATCCACATGATGTGTCTTCTGTTAAAGGCAACCACAGTCTCTTGCTCCCCTGACCACTACCACCTGGTGATTGGATGATTACTTACCTGTTGTCTTTTTAACTCACATAGCTATAGCCTGTGGAGCGCCGTTAAGGTATTTTATATTTTTTTGGCAGTCGTTCTTGAATATATCAATATATAATACTTCCTCCCATTTCATTTATAAAACACATTTTAAAAAATTTATTTAATTTTATTTATAAATTATGGTGTAGTTTTTTAAATAATATTTAAAAAATATTTTTAAAAGTATCCTTTATAAGAGAAAAAAAATAACGTGTATCACTTTTTGAATTTGTTATACAATGGTATATTTAAAATTTTACATATTTTTATTTCTTATATTTTTTTGCATTAATATTGATAAGGTTGGTAGAAATTGATAAGGAAGATTGGAAGAGTAAAGGATAATACTCCCTCAATTAAAAAATGTAAGGTATTTTTTAAGGAATTGGATGTTAAAAATATATGGTATTTTTAATCTTTTAAATTGTAATCATTGCTTTTTTTACCCTTAGTAAATGAATCACTTTGTTTATTTTAGGGTATTTAATAGGGATAAATATAAAAAGATAGGATTAGTTTAAAAATAAATAACTTTATTGGAGGTGAGATTTGGTTAAAAATATCTTATATTCTTACACGGAGGGGTATAACTTTTAGTGTCTCATTTGTTTTAATTATTAATTTGATCTTTTAAATTTAAATTTTATTAACTTAATTCTTTAAGTTTACTTGAATCATCAACTTAGTTCTTATTACTTAAAAAAGAGATTACATTATTAAAATTTACATACTTGGATAATAGAATGTTGATGACTTGCATATAGATTAATAAAAAAAAGTATAATTATTTAGGTAGGAAATAAACAGATTTTGAAAATTTTAAAAACAATAGAACAAATTAAAACACATTGTAAGGAATTATATATAAATTAAACTCATTTTTGAGTTAATTTGTTATCTTTTAGCTATATATATCTCAAATTATTAATATACTTTACACATTAAATTATTTTAAGAGTTAACTTGTGTTTTAATATTTAAAGGATTTGCATGATAATTTAAGAAAAAATATATAAGAGATTAAATTGGTAAAAATTAAATTTAAGAGGTTAAATCAATAATTGAGAGAAATTTAAAAGACTAAAATTTTCATTATTTTATAGTAAATTACTCTGTCCATCTTAAATTATTAGATATTTTGATAAAAATAAAATTGTATTAATTATATTTGTTCCAATATTACTTTGATCCCCTTATACTTTCTTACATTAATACTGTGTAGGGTACTTTTGAGAAACTCTATTTATGTTTTTTTAAATTAATACTATTGTAAAGTATATTTAATTAGTTTTATTGATATGTGTAATTTTGTTAAAAAAAAAACATCTTATACTGCGGGACAGGAGGAGTAATAATTACTTATGTGAAAATACGAGATGGGGACCGTACAAAAATATACATACAGTTGCTTTATAGTTTCTATTAATTATAAATATGAGATTTAAAGCGCTTCATATATATCGGACAAAGAATGAAATTGTTAGGAGCATAGATAGTGTGACGAGTTTGTTTATTATGGTCAGATAAAAATATATATACAAATTATTATTATCATTAGGATTAATATTATATACAATTTATAGAAGAAGGAAATGTTATTTAGAAGTTAGAAACAATACTGCTTGCTTGAAATATTTTTCAATGCACAAGACTCACATCTACCCAATATTACACCAAATAAAAGATTCAGGCTTAAATTTGTTTGTTCTAAAATATATAATACAATATACTTCCTCCATCTCAAATTATAAGACACTTTTAGGAAAGATTTAATATCTCAAAATATAAGACACTTTGATAAAAATAAGGTTTCATTAATGATGCTTTTTCAATATTACCCTTCCTATATATTATCTCTCTTTAATATTATTTCACCAATGAAGTATTAAATGAAGGACATTTTTAAAAATTTATATTTTTGTCTTGAAAAAATAAGGTAATAAAGTGTTTAATGAGATTTATTGATATATGAGATTTTATCTAAAAGTGTCTTATAATTTGGGACGGAGGGAGTGCTTTAAAAGAAATGTGGCTTAATCCAAGATACTAATAGAGATAGAATCGAACATTGAGCGAGGGCAACTTTAATGATACTAGTTTGATGGATGGATCACAACAACAAATTACGATAAGTTGAATGTTCTAATGATACTTTTCAAGTAACAAGGATGTGATCAATAACAGGCCGACCTCCCCTATATGCATGCGTGCATGAATGTTGTAAGTATAGTGCTTGTCCAAAAAAGATTCAAGGGTAATTTTTTAAATATTTATTAAACTAATTTTAGCATGTGATAGTAAAAGAACTTAACTTCTTTTTTCTACTAGGAAAAGGCTAGCAAAAAAGCTAAAGGAAAAATAAACAAAAAAAGAGAAGATTAAAGCAGCCTACATAAGGTATTAACCTTGTTGTGGTCCTGTAAACTTAGATTAATATAGTTTGTGGGAATGTCATGAAGAAGCTGCAAGTAGTCTGGCCCCTCATGGACGAGCTTGGCAAGAAAATTTGCACACATGTTTCCCTTACGATGACTGTGTTATAGTTCTAGATTCTAATGTTCACATATAAGTTGTTGAAGTTCCACAATATCATTATAAAAAGGTGATCCCTGGCTATGCCTCGATAGGTTAAATCTATAGCCTCCATTGAGTCTGAAGTCACACAAACTTTCCCGGCATGAACAAGGTTGCAGACCTCAGTCCCATGTTTGATTGCCTTGACTTCTGCAATTGTGATTGGTATGTGCCCCAAATTGCATGTGAAACCTATAATCCATTTCCTTTTGAGTCCCTGAGTAATCCTCCACAGGCTGCACTATTGTTTTGATTTACTGAAGCGTCCATATCCAAGCATAAAGTACCAACAGCTGGAGCAACCCAAATGGAATCTTACACATCTGTCTGAGAATTACCCAATAAGTTAAGGTGCTGTACACCTCTTTCTTCCATCAGTTTCGATCTGCATGCACTGATAATGTTCTCGACATTGTGTTGTGTTCCATTAAAAATTTCCTCGCATCTTGTTGTCTATATTAACCAGCAGATGGTTCCAAAGATCTTCATCCAGTTTCGAGTTTGAAATATTTAGCCTCTTAAATTTTGACTTGTGTTCCATTGAAACCAATCCTACAAGCTGCATGAGAAAAATTTGTTATGAAAAATATTATTGATAATTTTCTCCTATGTTTCTCTTGCTCTTTTACAATCTCTCAATATATGCATGTCACTCTCATCACATCCACAATCAAAGGGACATCAAGCATTTTGAGTAATGCATTTCTTTGCTCTAATAAGGTTGCTTGGGAGCCACTCATGCAGGACTTGCCATGGTAAGTATATGATTTTCTTCGATAAAGGCCACTTTCATAAATCAGATCAAATCTAAGATAGACCATTAGTCATTAGATGTGCCACTTTTAAGGAAAGAGTAAGTAGATTTGATAGAGAACCAACCATTGCTAGCTGGTCTCCATCAAAAACCATCATTCTGCTAACTAGTTCGAGGAGGGAAAGTCAAAAATTTATCAACAATAGTATTAGGGAAATAATGTCGAAGAGCACAAATATCCCATCCTTCCGAACTAGAATAAAAATCACAACCCTTAGCATGGGCATTAAAAGCAATGTATCTATTGGTCACATATTCAATTAAGGGTCCTTTTAAGGGAGCCCAATGATCCCACTAAAAGCTAGTGGTTTTACTATTGTTAATTTTCTTGCTCACCCTTTGAAGAAAAATGTCCCAAACTTTAACAATGTTGTTCCAATTATAGGAGGTAAACCTCTTTTTAACAACCATTGGAATGATAACTTTCCCCACATCTATATTTAGATCTCAAGCATTTGACCTAAAGGGTGTATCGACGTTTGAAAGAGGTCCTTCACACAATTTCATCAAAAAAGCCTGATTTTGGGTTTGCAACTTCTTTATACCTGGTCCCCCCATTTTTTTGCTTTCTCTAATGGTATTTCAATAAATAAGATGTATTTTCTTTTGATCCTCCCTATTAGCCCAGAAAAAATTTTCACTATGTTTATCAATCTCCTTTAAAAAGCCGACATGGATATGCATGGTTTGCATAATATAGGATAGGAGTGCTAAGATGACAGACATAACGAGCACTGTTCTACCAGCCATATTTAGAAAAGATCTTTTCCAAGAAGAAAGCCTAGATTGAACTTTTTGAATAATAAGCATGAGCATACCTTTGGCGATTTAATTGTGAAGCCAAGGAACTCTAAAGTATTTGAGACCCACTCCAAGGTGTTGATTGATATTAGAGGAAAGTTGCCTGCTGACTTTTTTTAGAACAAGAGGGCTTAGGTTTCCCTAAATTCATTCTATGCCCCGAGACCATATAGAAATTTGACATAGCTTTCTTGATCAAAACAACTTCTTCAAAGGAAGCCTCAGGAAAAGAATAAGGTTATCAGCAAAAAATAAGTGTGATATAGAAGGCCTAGATTCAAAGATTTCCAAAGGTTTCCATTACTTTTTCCTACGAAGATCCTGAATTAACTTATCCAATCTTTTCATGCAAAGGACAAAGATATAAGAGCTTAGAAGATCTCCTTGTCTTTTCCTTCTTGAAGGCTGGAACTCTTTAGACTCTTCCCCATTCCAAAGAACTTTAATAGAAGCCGTGATTATGCAAGTCATAATAATCTGAATGAAATGTGGTCCAAGTCTAAGACACTCCAAGGTATGAGAAATAAAATTCCAATCTAGGCGATCATATGCTTTTTCTATATCCACATTGATAGCCATGTAGCCTTTCTTTCTCTTCCTTGCTCTTGTAGAGTGTAAGGCTTTTTGGACAATAATGATGTTGTCACAACTCTGACGCCCCGTAATAAAGCTACACTGGCTTGGCTTAGTGAGGTAGTTAAAATGCTCTTTGAGATAGTAAGAATTTTTGTGACAATCTTAAGACGAACATCATAAAGAGAGATCGGTCTAAGCTCCTTTAAATAGGTAGGGGGCTCCACTTTGGGGATCAAACATATATGTGTTTGGTTGATATCCCTTATTTTTTTAGGATCAAATAAAAGCGCTGAATAAAATTACACATTTTGCTGCCAATAATACCCCAGTGAAACTTATATAAGTGAACTAGAAGACCGTTAGATCTTAGAGCTTTAAGGGTACCCATGGAGAAAATAGCTTCTCTGATCTTCTCCTGTGTCACTTCTTTCTGAATATTTCCCAAGGCAAAGTCAGAAAGCTTATGAAAGGACCTAGGCACACTATCTGGTTCCGTGCCGGCACTTTCCTTAGTATAAAGATTTTGAAAAAACTCACAAGCCATCTCTTTTAGCACATTTTGATCAGACGCCCAATTTCCTTCATCATCCTTTAAGGCTTCAATTCTCCTCTTGCGTCTTTTGATAACAGTGGTAGCATGAAAAAATCGAGTATTTTTATCACCCCTTTTGAGCCACTTGCATTTCGATTTTTGATACCAAATTAGTTCTTCTTGCACAACAAGCTTATTGTACTTAGCCCAATATTTCGTTCAAGCTTTTGCAACCCATTCCTGTCATCTTCACTTCTGTATTTATCAATGCTTTCAATACGTTTCAACATGTTTTTTTTTTTTCTTTTTGGGAATACTACCAATAACTCGTTTATTCTAGTCAGTAGCTTCCCTAGAAAAAGTTTGAATCCCTTCAGGCCAGCTCTTATCCTTCCAAATGCACTTCACAAGATCTGTAAAGCTTTCTTCTAGAGTCCAGGCAAAATTGATTTCACGTAGGTGTATTTTGTTTTTTATCCTGGCATAAACAGCCGTGATCAAAATTTTTAAAATGCCTAGAACTTCATGAAAAGCTTATGCTTTTAGCATGAGGAGAAAAAGAATATGCCAAGACAGATAATGGATGGAAGATAAAAGCAAAAAGAAAATATTCTGTGTGTTTGGCGCATAAGAAAAAAAGATACAAAAGAAAAGAGTAACTAATTCTATAGCGACAGTAAATAACATGAAAAGGATATGGACCTCTTATCTAGAGTGCTACAGTCACTGGGATGAATTTGGAAACATATTTTCTGTTTTGAATCTCTTTACTTTTAAAAAGAAAACTCTGGGGAGAAAACAATTAAACACGCATGCAAGCCTCTTTTTCTCTCTCCCTTTTCTTTTTTCTTTTTATTTTCTCTTATTATTCAAGTAGGAGAAGAACTATTTTCTTTCTTATTTTCTACTCTACTTTTGTCTTTCTATATTTTTCGATTCAATCAAATATATGTATAGGATAGATTATTTATATAATAAAATTCAAGGTGCATAGTATATTTTTCTGCTACACATGGAAGTATATTCTAAAATAGCACAAGACACTAGTTGTATAGTTTTTAATATGAATGTGAGGTTTGAGATCTCCAACTGGATGGAGAATGGTTTCATTAAAAAGGTACAGTAAAAGGATGAATTTATTATGTGCTCAAATAAAATAGCATGGATGTATGATATAGGGGCTTTAGCCCTGGGTCATGAACAAAATTAAAATTAATCTTTTGGCAACATTATTTATCTGAATTTAATTACATATGTTTGTTCAAAATTTAACTAAACATATTTGATGAATTTAAGCAGACACATGTTAAAAATTAACATGTTTGTTAATTTGAAAACGTGTAGGTATTAAAAAATAAGGACACATCTTCTGCAGGTTAACCATTTAACGTGACTCTCCAAAATCTATTACAAATTTTTTCTCTAGTATTCTAGAACTGCTAAAATAACTTGAAAGTTAATGCATGATTTGTTATATTTGCCTTGTAATTTTTAGAATGAAAACAAGCACACTTTTTAAAAAAGATATACTTTCTGTATTGAACCTAATATTCTCTTTCTGTGTTGATAATTTTTTAACAGCAATATCACCGGAACAAATTTATTATATATAATACACTGATACCTCCCACTGTAGACGAGTGAGTGAGTAGCCTGTTCCCATTAGAGGTGGTCCTCCTCCATCGCTTGAGGGCAGATTTGAGAACTGAACACACACACACACACTCGTGCGCGAAAGGCCAACAAATATGTATTATTCTGAGTCTGATCAGTGTATGCTGTTTCTATTGCATTTACCTGTGACTATTAATTGTTCCTGAATATGATAGTGGGCACTGTGAGTGTGAATCCAAAATAATACTTGTACTTTTTTTAATCGACCAGCCGAAAGACACTATACTTGGAACTAATGTTTCTAGCCAGTGTACTATAGGGGCGTTACTCTTTTCTAATTTCATGTTGCTTTCTTAATCTGTTCCACCATATGAATATTTACAATTACATTTCCGTTTCATGTTTTCAGCTTCTAAAAGTTTTGGTTAATCGCAAGGGATCAGGACATCAGGTTGAAGGGAGCCAGACTCTTGTACTAAGAATCCGCAAGTGTAGATATATTTATACCTAATTTTTAGTGTTTTCATCAATGCTTAGCACTTGGATTGAGCCCAAAGGTACCTATGGTTCACTGGCGAGTATGAGAGGCACAGACAGAGTTCAATAAATATTTCTCAGAAAGTTTGCTGAGAATCTGCAAGTAGCAGTTTGTGGAAGAAGATACGCAATATACTAAGGCACTTCTTTTGTTAAAGAACTCGAAGACGTTTTAAATGTATTGTATCGCACGCTTTGCGTCTTTCTGGTTACTATCAATGCTTATTGCTAAATCTTATGGGGGGTATGCCATCGCCCTTTCGTCTTCCTCTACGTTTTATTTCATGGTGTAGTTTCTCGGTTGATCTTCGGAGTTTTATGATCTCGGACATGTTCCTAGGGAAATTATTGTCGAGTGTTGCGACGTTACGCTTGCCTCTGCAGATTCACTTCCTGGGATGGAAAGGAATACACAACTATATATTCATCATACGCGTGCTGCACTTGGACCTTGCTAATGATTTGCTATGGTTATCCACAATGGTGTTACTGTTGATGTTTGTGAGTACTGAGTACATTCTTTGGCAGAAATACAGGACAGCCCCATCGCAAGTGACACCCAATACACACGCAGGCAAAACAGCTGTCATTATGCCGTTTAGGAAGACTCTGTTCTTTTAAATAAACCGGTGACCTTCGTATGTAAATAATTCCATACGATCTTCCTAACTTGTTTAATTACTCTCTCCTGTCCTTGTCCTGTGTACAGACCACAGAATCATTTTACCTAATTCACGAAAATTTAGAAAAGAAGTTAAGTTGGTTGTTTACAATTAATTTGTAAGAAAATCGTGATAATTTTTGAGCTACCGCTGCAATTAATTCACTATATTTTTACTCTTTTCCACTGACTAGAGAAAATGGAACAGTAATTAAGGATATTATGAAATAAAATGCTATTTAATATAGTGAATACAAGTGTATTGGGCCTTATATTAACTATCAAGGACCGAGGGCAGATATGTATATGAAAATATTAATAAACTGATTTCTCATAATCTCAATAGTTGACCCTTATCCTCCCTTAAAAAAAAAAAAAAGGTCGACACTTTAAAAAAGATACATTACCTTCACAATGTTGACTGGGTTTGAAAGACTCGATTCCTGTCACGTAAGAGACTGAATGTTAATGCCCATTCACATCGTGTTTGACCTGGAAGGGTACGGACAACCGTGTCGGTGTGTTACTTTTTTTTTTTTTTGGCACCAAGTGTGTTACTTTTATTTGAATAAGACAGGAAACACTTTCATTCGGAGAGAAATAAAAAGCAAAACCAGTACACAGCCAATTAAGGAAAATGTTACTGCTAGTAGTCGTAATTACCCAAAAAGAAAAAAAAAACGGATAAATATATTAATGTAATCGTCATAATACCTAATGGTAAATCAAGACACATAGGAATAGAGTGCTAAGTCCAATGTAAGTCTGGCATCGGCTAGGCCCATTAGAAGGCCCAGAATGACACTCAATGTCAAGCGTGGACCGAAGTTTAGTTTGCAAACCCCACCTACGTAAATATGGAATCGATGTCGATTGGGCCGATGGAAGCCATATCCAGGCCCATGAAGAGCACATTACCTTCGGTTAAAAAAAATGGTTTTTTGGGGTTAGCCAAAAAAAAAAAGGAATGTCTTTTGGGGCTTAAATGAAAAATAATAAAAACGACATTTTTTTCGTATTAAAGAATGAATATACAATATATATATTTTTTTAACTTTCAGTCCAAAAAAACATGGGGCCAGAAAATCGTCACATTTTCACTGAGTTAAAACGATTCTTTCCCAACCACCGGGTTAAAAAGATGGCCATTGAGCTAATAGTGATTGAGTAAAAGAAATGCAACTTTTCTTACACTGGGAGAAATACGGCTACAAGATGTTTAAATATGACGTAGTAATAAAAATAAGTGCTAGATAATTTTGTATGAAAATGATATGTCTTAATAAACTAACAGTGATATCAGTATAATTCATGTATTCCGATGACAATGTTAAGCATTATTTATTTATTTTTTAGTTACTTAAGATATTTCTACAACCGGCATGGTGACCGCCATATGATTAATCTCTCAAAAAATTTGAATGTCATTTAAGGATTGTTTTCTCTCAAAAAATGAATCTTAAAATAATGTTTAAGAGGCCCAAACTACTAACAATAATATGTTAAACATTATTATGGCTTATAAGGCTTCAAAATCATTTTTTTAAAAAAACCATTTGATATAATAAAAAATAACGCAGGTGTTTGATATTTTATTATTTTTGTAATTAAATGTTATACTTTTTTATGACATACATGCATCTAATAAGGGAAAAATGATAGTGCTTATAATTTAATAAATTATAATTTTATTTTAAAACACATAATTGTAGATGCAGGAATTGAGGAGAGAGAGATACGCTTGATTTGTTTGGTTCAGAATAAATAACATTAAAATTGTCAGAAATACATTTGTCATAAATTTAATATAATTTTTTGTTATATTCTTTTTTTATTTTAGGAGAATTTATGGTCATTTTTAAATTGAATATGAGAGTTGCTTGATTTGAATATCTCCATTCCACTCAAAGAATAATTTGTGTACATATTTACTCTTTTTTTTTTCCTTCTCTTACTAATGTCTTAAATTTTTAATGCAGCAGTTGATATAAATTTTTGACAAGAAAAATACATATATAAAAGACAAATTCTTAAATAAAGTAGGCGCATCACATTATTTATAATTTATCACATTTCAAGTCATTTAAATAAAATTTTATGTAATATTATTTTAATTAATTTTATTCTGATAACAAAATGAATATTTACTTTCTCACATTTTCTATAGAGTATCATCAATGTTAAAGTTAATTTATATTTAATATCACTTGAATATCGTGTTTTATTATACAAGCAATAAATAAAATGACACACCTCATTTATTTAAAAAAATTTTATACAAGAAATTGCAAAAGTTGTAAGAAATTAGTGTAATAACGAGTAGATGTGCAAATTTGGGTGGGCTAGGAGAGTCCAGGCTCAACTCAAACAGGCCCAAATCCAAATATATTTAATTTTAAAGTTTAAATAATCAAGTTCAGCTCGAATTTTTTTGAATTTTGAGTGGCTCGAATATTTGAATTTTATATTTAAAATTATTTTTATTAAATTTTGTTACTTTAAAATTAATTATTTTATTTTATAAAAAATATAAATATGTATTTTTTGGATATTCAAATGATGTATATGACCCAAACACATGGTATTTTAGTGTAAAATAACGTAAAAATGTTAGAGTTAATTAATATTTATTATATATTATATTTTTTAAAATGTTATATTTTTTATTTGGGTATTTGAAGAAGCTCTTACTCTATGGGCCTTAGCCCAAACATAAAAAAAGTCATATTTTTCTTAAGCTAGTCTTAAGTTTTTTCAAGCGAATTTAAGTTAGCTCGAATTACCAATTTTAATAATAAGTAATGACTAACCAGTGAAAAGGTGCATTGCAAATAAGATATTTTCTCTATTTAAAAATGTAGAATATTTTTATCCAAATTTCACTCTTAATAAAAGCAGGTATTTATCTTTCAACTAATCAATTTTTTATATTTACTTTTATTTAATAGGGTTTTATTTTAAAATAAATATAGAGTGATTCATTCAGGATATTTTTTTTAAAAAATAATGATTTCATTTTAAAAAATTAAAAATATTTTATATTTTTTAATATTTAACACTTTAAAAATATTTTATATTTTTTCACCGGAAGTAGTAGGATGCATGACCTCTACTAATATCTAGCAAATTAATTTATTTAATCACATGTGCTGGCGGTGAAGAACCTTTGTCAGAGAAAAAAAAAATGTCAAGGAAAAGAGCGGGCAGATCCTAAAGTCCTTATCTGTAGCTGTCGGACAAGCAAATCCAATTTAATAATCTATTTTACCTTATCTAGCGCAAGCTGTAAGAAATAATAATCGCCAAATGCATCTTATCTGTTGAACGTAAATCCGACGGTCATGGCTTGTTATTACAGTTCCTGTTGGATATATTGATTTCAAAATCCAACGGCTCAGATACCTTTGACTGTGATGTAAGAAGGTGGGGACTGCCAATTTGCCATTTAGAAGCGACTCGAGTCTCGAGAGGTGGCTGGCATTTCCGCTCCCTGGTTTGGCGCTCTCATCCTCATCTCGCAGTTCGGTCTTGAAGTTCGCTCTTGCTGTCCTGGTTTGAGCTTTCGGGAAGTTCCCGGTGTCTGCTTTATCTCTGGTTGACATCTGATTTTGTGTCTGCAACTCTGCTAGGGTTTTACTTTAGCTGCGATCTCTCCTCTAGCCGCTTCTTTTCCAATCGCGGCGTTTGGATTTTCAGTGCTTCTTCTACTGATTTTCTTTTCTAGGAATCATTTTGAGTAATATTTGGAGATTGGAACAAGGGCTCTGAGCTTCCTTGGACGCGGCACATTTTTCAGTTAGCGACCGGTAATTGTCCTTCTGGGGATTGGGTTCGTTTAGATTTGAGTTCTGTGGTCTTTCTGATTTTCTACGGCTGGCTTATAATTCCTTCATTGCTGGAAATTGTTCTACTAGTTCTAAGTGGAAGAATTATATTTGGGACTTAAGGATCGCTGGAAAGGACTAGCGTTTATCTGAAAACCTAGTATTTCTTAATGTTCAGTTTCACTCCATATTAGATTACAATAATTTTGATGCCAACCGTCTGTTGTATAATTTTACGCCCAAACTTGAAGAGCCTGATGCTTGAAAATCACCTTAATTTCCTTTCCTCTTTTAGTAAGTGTTCATTATATTATTGCGGGGTTTCAAGATATTATTAATAATAATATACTAAAAATTAAATTTTCTTTTCCGGGAATTTCTCAACAGTCAAGTTATTTCACCCCCCTTAAGTTATTTCTGGGACAAGCAGTAGCGGTGTTCATATTTCCATGATTGGTATTGGACGTTAATCTGAAGGCGACAGTCCCTGTCTAATGGTATAGTGGTTGAAATCTTGTGCATGACGATGGCAAAGAGTAGTAGGTACTCTGAAGGTTATTGTGGCAATGCAGTAGCGCCAGCTGGTGATCAGAGGGGTCTGGTAGCTCAGGACAAATTGACACTGAAATAACTGTTTCAGAGGACTCAAGCGTTCCCACTAGGAAATGTATTAGTTTAAATTCAAGCCACCGTGACCCCTTTGGTGTTCCCATGCAAGTTCTCCCCTTGTCTAAATTATCACCATTTGAAAGAAAAGATTTGGTACGTAGGTTGAGATCAGAGCTTGAACAGATTCGTCTACTCCAGAAAAAAGGTGAACTACAAAGAACAAATACTATTACATTGTCATCCTCTAGTGATATTCTTAGCTGTAATAACGGACAAAATGGACCCAGAATAGTGAACAATAAAAAACCATCTGTGTCCAATTCTGTATCAGGGAAGAAATTGAATCCAGCTGGTAACAAGTCGCGGGCATGGAACCGAGCCTCTACTGGGAAGTTTGCGTCTGCAGCACAGACTTGTTCGCCAAACACTGCAAATGCTATGCTGATGAAACAGTGTGAGGCATTGTTGAAACGTTTGATGAATCATCAGTATGCTTGGGTTTTCAACACCCCTGTAGATGTTGTGAAGTTGAATCTTCCAGATTATTTCACCATAATTAAGCATCCTATGGATTTGGGAACAGTAAAAGGCAAGATAACATCGGGAGCTTACTCAAGTCCATTGGAATTTGTTGCCGATGTAAGGACTACATTTTCAAATGCAATGACTTATAATCCCCCTGGAAATGATGTCCATATCATGGCTGACACCCTTAGTAAATATTTTGAAGTGAGATGGAAAGCAATTGAGAAGAAACTACCTAGAACTGATCCTCTTCCATTGCCAGAAAAATCAGACACTCTTGGAGCAGTGGAAACTGCTAGACCAATGCCTCCATCGAAGAAGAGGAAAATCACTTCATTGCCACTGAGTTCAGATGTGAGGCCACCTGCTAAGCGGATTATGACAGATGAAGAGAAGAACAGCTTAGGCAGAGAATTGGAGTCTTTGCTGGGAGAATTGCCTGTACATATCATTGATTTCTTGAAAGAAAAAAGTTTGAACGGCAGAGATTGTGGAGAGGAAGAGATTGAGATTGATATTGATGATCTGAGTGATGATACTTTGTTTACACTACGGAAGCTTTTGGATGACTATTTGCAAGAGAAGCAAAAGGATATTTCTAAAGCTGAACCATGTGAAATAGAGGTATTCAACCTCCCACATGACTCTTTGGCCCAAAATAAAAATAAAAATAATAATAATAATAACAACCTCCCACATGACTCCTTAGAAATTGTTTGTATGGCACTTTGTCTGATCTCACTTACATTTATCTAAATCTATTGTTGCAGCTGTTAAATGATTCTGGACCTAGCAATTCGTCATTGCAGCCTTTCAAAGGTTATACAAAGTGTCCGAATGTGTGGGCAAGTGCGTGTACTCTAAATTGGCTTTTCATTTAATTATTTTCTTCTTGTAGGTAATGACCTAGCTGATGAGGACGTAGAAATTGGTGGCAATGAGCCCCCTGTATCAAGTTGTCCACCTGAGGGGAGTGAAAAGGATAGAACACATGGAATTAATCAACGTTTGAGTCCAGGAAGCTCCGGTGGTTAGTGACTATTGACGCTTCTGTGATGCTTTTTTGTGCTATATGATTATGATACTTTCTAATGCACGTGATGTGGCTAAAATGACTTTATATGTGATAGTACTTAATACCTATTTGATGTGGCTAATATGTAGGCATTTATAGGATACAGGTGGGACATAAGGTGGGAAAAGAGACCTTTTTGAAATAAAGTTTTCATGTACAATTTACTTTATGAATTTATTCTAAATATTAATATTAAACTATCCTATTGGTTTTGAGCTACTTAATATTATGCTCTTTTTTATCTTGCTCAGCATTTTGGTTTTATTTTGTTCTTTGATTAATGAGATTTTGTGTTTTCCCGCACTCTCTTGAGGTTTCACTGTGGATATTGAATCTTTGATATGTAATGATTTTTGGATGTTAGCCTTGATAATATCTGAATTTAAATTGCGATTGGGATTTGAATGTAAACATGTTTTCTCTATTAACTTCTTGAATTATGTCTCCGAATCCGTATATCTTAAAAAAAGTTATCAATAGGACTGTTTTTCAATTTATGTCTATGTTCAAGTAGCAGAGGGGGAGTTTGTTTTAGAGGAAAGTTAGAGATTTATTTTTAGTTCTGCGTTTCTTTAATTGTGTCAACAATCAGCTTTTGTTGAGGATTTAGCTCTGCAGGTTAAATTTCCAACTACTTAAATCTTAGCAAGGGGAAGTAGCCTTAATTCTTAGTTTGCTAGGACTTCTGTCATTAAAAGTTCTAGGGGAGGATGGCAATTAATAGATGTTCCTGAGCCAAGTATTTGTGTCTTTTTTTCCCCACTGATATGTGAAATGTGTTGAGCATTTCTAAAAATGATCTTTTTCATTTTCTTTTCAATTAGACAGTATGTAATAGATAAAATGTTGAAGAGATTGCAATTTTAAAGGATGGCTTATTGCTTCCGTCATTTTAACAAGATTTGTGGCTTTTATCTCTGTCTTCATTTTCCTTCCCCCCCCCCCCCCAATTTAATATATCTTAGTAGGAAATGCATACAAAAGGAGGACTTAAATACATCCATGTTTAGCATTTTAGAACTAGTTTCGCACATAAACTTCCCTTGCTTGTTCGTTTTGCTGAGTTATAGTGTTATGGTATCTTGTGAAAATTAATCAGTGAAGATAATTGTTCCACAGTATTGTGTCTTCTATAAGGAATTGAGATATTTAACACATGGCATGAAAATGAAAGATGAAAATAAAATAGGGAGGCTTTTGGAACTTTAAGGAGGAGTGAGAGGTGGCATCCTCTTCGAGGACTCTGTCTGAGATGCGTTATGTGCATTGCTGTGCCATTTATGCCTTAATTTTAATGAAACTAGAGTAAAAAGAAAAAAAAAGAAACTCAGAAGTTATCATACAGTTCAAGTTATATTAACCCTTGATATTAAACTCCGAATTCTTTTGAGGGAGTTTTGCAAACTTAGAAGCAATTTTTCCAATGCTTGAGCTAAAAAAGGCATGATTTGGAATTGGTTTTCCGGTGATAGTTTTTTACAATAAGCTTAAATGATATTAGTTGGATCAATAAGACAGTTAATTGAAAGCAAACTTATTGTAGGATTTATCTTGAACCATTTCTGATTCCGGAATGTTTTAAATCAAAAATTGGTACTCAATAGATTTGAATGATTACCTACACAATATTCTAAGATTAACTTGACTTTATCTAATTATCCAATTTTTGGAGTTTGTCCAACACCCCTTAATATATGAAACAACAGTCAAGTGGTGTTTCTAATTTTACAATTGTGATTTCTATCTAATAGACATTTTTCATTTTCTTTATATTGTTAACTTTGATTCTGTATTTTTTAAAATGATGAGTATTGGTGTGTATTTATATATTTCAGTCTGAGTCCATGTTCTAATTGTACTCATCGAATGTGAAAAGTCTCAAGCATCTGTTCTGTAACACTTGTTCTAGAGGATAAATTTTGTAAGATCTGACAACACCACCTAAGAGGAAGGGTGGATTGGGTGTTTAGCAAATTTTCAACTTTTAAAAGATTTTTTACAACGCTGAGCTTGATTAACAATGGAAGCAAGAAGTTTGTTAAAATAAGTTTGGTTAAACTTCTAAGGAATCAATTGTAAAGGTTTCAACAAACAATAAATGAAATAGATTTAAATGTCCTTTTGAAGAATTGATTGAAGAGCTTTGACAAGAATGAATAGATACTCAAAACAAGGAAATTGGAAATACTTGTCAAAACAAAGTATTTTGAAATGCAAGGTGAAACAATGATAAATTCGAAGTGCATAAAATGGAGAGATAAGAGTAGAGAGATTGCACAAATCAATTTATTCTTGTTCAATCCATCCACTTGGTTTATATTTAGTCCTCAGAAACCCTATGAGATTTTCTTCACGAAATATTGCAAGTTTAAATTAGGTACTTGTGAATCATTACAATTCCTCACTTAAGGACAGCAAGCACTTGACAACTCTCTGAACTCAATTCAAGGGAACTCTTCCCTTAATTCTCTCAAGAATGATACAAGAGTGATTCCTAATAATTTCTCCCTTTAAGAGATGGTAGGAATGATTGAAGTTCACTTAGATAAACTTTCTCAAAGAATAAGTATCGCAATTATGCCTTCAAACCAGAAATACCAGAGCTTTTTCAAAAATTTATGCAAAGATGATAGAGAACAATTAATGCATCATTGATTCATTACCTACTCACTTAAATGAGATTCTATTTATAGTGTGAGCATGATTATAGCCATTTGGGACCTCAACTAGCTGTTTAGAGATGTTGCCTAGCGTATGTAGAAGTAGAAATTGAGAAAAAAATACTTTATTTGCGAAACTCATTGAATACATATTAGAACACTAAAACATGCATGTTTTAGGTTCATCCTTGCATAGATGAGTAGTATAGAAAGGCTTTAGGAAAGCTTGGTCTAGTATACACATGGAGGCTCACTGAAAACTTGCATGTTTTAAGAAGGTAGAAACACAAGCTTCTTTGGAGTACTGAAATGTGTGGAGGCTATTAGGATCGCATGAGAAATACATGCAAGAAGTGAAAGACCTTTTGAACACTTTGAAAAACATATGATTGAGATTAAGATGAAATAAATTAGTTCAAGTATTCAAGGCTTAGACTTAGGCAAACTTGAGTGTAATGAGGCTGAGTAGGCTCAAGAACTCAAGTTGAACAGTTAGGCTAATACTCATGATGATGAGAACTTAAACTTTTGAGGATAAGAAGTTAAGAACCTTTGTTGATACTGTCATTCTTAAACTCACGTGTTTTAAGTGCTCAGAACCAAGCCCCTTTCTGGCACTCTAAAACTCACGAGCTTAACTTCTTAAGCTTGCGTGTTTGAATAAGGCAGAAACACCTTCTCTGGAGCTCTAAAACTTGTGTGTTTGATAATCACAAAATGAAAGGCATTTTGGAACTCTTAAACTCATAAGTATGTCTCTAAAACTTGGGAGTATGCCATGCAACACACAAAGAACAATCTAAGGTATTCACTCTGGAACACGTGTTTTGAATAGAACTCATGAGGATGAGGTGGTGAACATGAAATGTACTAGGATGTACAAGGATATTGTCCAAGTTTCAAAGCAATATGTATGAGAGCTTAAGACTTGTTTATCAAAATTTTTGTTACCATGTTATGAAAATGCAAGCTTTCTATTAAAACTAGTTTTTAACATAACAACTAAGAGAATAAAAAGAGTAAACTTATTTATATCAAGTCTTTTCTTGTTCTTACTCCTTTGCCCTCTTGGAATGGTGTTGACATTATTGATTATATAATTTGCACAAACAAAACCTTTTCTTGAGTTTTGTTATCATCAAAAAGTATTCAACAAATTTGGCTCTTCATGTTTTTCTCTATGGCCACTTTATGCTGTTGTTTAGTTGTATGAAGCCCGATTAAATTATTAAATGTATTTTTCCCTTATTTCTATTATCTGATTGTTGGTGGTGATATCTGGATGTCCAAATTCAGATACAGGCTCTAGTAGTTCCTCTGATAGTGAAGCTGATGATGCTAAAGCAAGTCAAGCGAACGCATCAGAGGTATGAGTGGGAAATGGAAGTTGTTTATCTCTTATTATTGAATGTCAGCATTTTGGCCCTCTAATTCCCAATGCTGTTTTCTTTTGGGTTCTCTTTGATGATTTTGTGGCAACTTTCACTGCAATTATTTATCTTTGTTCTTCTCCAGGTACCAGAAAATTTGGGGTCTGGACCTCAGTTGGATGAAAAGACCGGGGTTGTTGATACTCTGGAGAGACAACGTGAGTGATTGTTCTTGGCCTGGCCTGCTTGTTTGTCAACTATTTTTTGGTTAAACTATTACTGTTACCATGGAAAATGAATTATGATCAGCTTGCGTGGAGTGTCCAGTACACTCTAATTATTTGACCTTCCTGTGGTGTATGCTTTGTTTTTCTCTTGTGGTGAATTTTATAATTTGTCTTCTGGATTCCTGCTACTAGGCAACGATTCAAACTTAGCATAGACCTTATGGAAATGGCCTGTTGAATTGATGTTGTTTGAAGGCTCTTTCTTTTTTTGGTCAATTGTTTACTCTTCTTGATTACTACAAAGTAGAAGATTGTAGAAACATGTTCTGTTGCTATAGATTCTTGTTGAAACTTTTAGGTTCAAGTTTTGGACTTCTGTTAAATTTTTATTCTTATTTCTTAACGCTGATTGTTTCTTTTAAAATTCAATGTCCTGACTGAAAAATATGATGTCAATATTGTTGTATCAAATGTTAGAATGTAGATATATAAACTACACGCAAGAGAGGAATGGGCACTGTACTGTCAACATTATTGACAAAAAAAAAAAGTTATAGAAGTTAGGATATAACTCATATATGAAGTTAAGAGCCACTTTCAACTCAAACTGAAGCTATTGAGTGAAGGAATGCGAGTGGTTTATGTTTACTCGCTACTACACTCTTCACATTAAATAAAGCCATCGAACAGTATTTTTGGGTGAATGATATATATATTAAGAGATTGTTGTTGATAGAGCACAATAACATCAAGGGATCCATGTAACTAGTCTCATTAAGTGGGATAGAGTTTGTTGTTGCTGCAGACTCTTTCACACTGGAGTCTATTGGGCCTGTGGTGTGGAAATAGGACACCCTCTACAAAGTTGGATCTTCTTCATCTGAAATTTCACCTCTTTGTCTTCATTCCAATTTATAGCCGTTGGATTGATTTGAATGGTTACTGTGTTCTTTTCCTCATAAATCAAGGGGATGCAACATCTATTTCCTTTTCAGTTTATGTGGATTACAAATCTATAAAAATTAGAATGGAGACAGAGGGGATTTCAAGTGGAGAGGATCTGAATTTCCCCATATGCTTTATACTGTCATTTCATAATAATTATGAAGAGAGGAGTAGGGCAAAGATTAATATCTTAGCCACTAGTTCATGAAGACTCGATACTTTTGCAAAGGTTGCTTCATTTCAAAAGCTTAAGTGTGTAAAAGCACAGGCTCGTAATCTTGTGCGTGAAACTTATTTTATTGAGAGAATTGAAGGTGACAAGGACCAAACAAGAAGCCTGTGCTTTGTTATGTTCTTATAAAGATGTTGTCTTTGGAAGCACTTGCAAAGCTAATAAGGTGGCATAGAAAAGACAAACGTCTTAGTTACTGCATCTGCATAATTATGACTCTGTTGTTGCATGGTTATAATTTGGGCTATGGCAGTAATGATTTACTATCACTAGCCTTGAGGCCCCTTGCCTATTGTTCTAAATAATTCTATTTGTATTTGCAAGCTGGCTCTATATTCTTTTACAATCAAGATTCTCGGCTATCACACTGGCTTGAATTATTGATCTCTATATATTACAGAATCGCTAAGTAGGTTGGATCAACTTGAAGATAATCCTCAGCAAAAGCAAAGTTCTTTCGACTCAGACTGCTGTCAAGACGGTAAAAGAATATATCCAAGTCCCGGCCATTTATGTTTATATCAAATGCCTACTAATTAGCTTTTGAAAATGTTGTAGGGGACAGCGGTCCAAATGAGAGACAGGTCTCTCCAGGAAAACTCTATCGAGCTGCTCTATTGAAGAATCGGTTTGCTGATACCATCTTGAAAGCCCGAGAAAAAACTCTGGCACAGGTACAATTCAAAATCTGGGCTCCTTAAACTGTTGAACTTATGGCTGATCGGAAAAAAAAAAAAAAGTGCTAAACTACGCTGCATGTAATCTGGCTGACATCAGGGTGAGAAGGGGGATCCTGAGAAATTGCGCCAGGAAAGGGAAAAACTCGAGATGGAGCGTCAGAAAGGTGAATTGGATGTGATATTAATATGCTTTTTTTTTTTTTTAAGGATTACTTCGCCAGTTTAGGCTGTTCGACTTCATATATTAACAAGCCTATCTCCTGACTTAACTTCGATTATCATGGGAGCAGAAAAGGCCCGATTACAAGCAGAAGCAAAGGCTGCTGAAGATGCTCGAAAACAGGCAGAGGCAGAAGCTGCTGCAGAAGCCAGAAGAAAGAGGGAGCTTGAGAGAGAAGCTGCACGCCAAGCATTGCTACAGGTAAATGATCAGCGGATAAGTTGCTGGTACATATGTCCATCCTTTATCTCTGGATTTTATTCTAGCATATATTGGCACCCCTGCAGATTGAGAAGACTGTTGAAATCAATGAGAATTCACGCTTTCTTGAAGACTTGGAAATGCTCAGAGCTGCGCCGGCTGAGCAATTACCTAGCTCTGTAGATGAGACTAGTCCTGATCACTCACAGGACGGCTTGGGTAGTTTCAAGTTTGCGGGCGGAAATCCCTTGGAACAACTAGGATTGTATATGAAAGTGGATGATGAAGACGACGACGGAGAGCCTCCTAGCGTTCCAAATCCTGTAAATGATGTGGAAGAGGGAGAGATTGATTAAATTATGCTGAACTTGTAATCGTGAAAGAATGTAACAGCATGTTGTCCTAAGAAAGAATATTGGTAAACTAAACTTATCCTAGTCCCAGGCAACCTCTTGAACTATTTAGTTCTTATGATTAATCCATCACAAAAGGGACGAAGCATCTTTTCTTGTGGTAGCATTCAGCCTCTAGGAGACACGACACGATATCGAGTTTCAGCTTCTCAAGACTACGAAAGGGCCGGTGTGATCAGAAACGGGGGTACTTTTTGGCCCCTTCCCATCAGGATGGCAGCTTGCATTAGCTTACTTTTGTGATAGTGGCCTTAACATCTCTTCGTCTAGTCAAATCTGTACAAAATATAGTCCTTTAGATTTTCATGATTATGGACGACTGATAGTAGAAGTAGCTCCATGCATCGTTTCCTCGATATGCTGTGTGCCTGTATTTGTAACTTGTTTGTTGTATTATTGGTACAATTTTGATAGTTTCAGTTTCATTTTCTGAGCACTTGATAGTGGAGTAAGGGCCGACAGAAGGACTAAGATGATCTTTAAACTTAAAAGAGGCCCAGTGAGCTACGGAAGGCCATCAATGTCATTATCATTCAATATCTTGTTTCAAGTATTCGAACTGCGATTAATATCTTATGAGTGAGGATGCGTGATGTATTTATCGTAGTTCCTATTGATTTCTGAAGTACTCTACAAACATTTGAAAAATGAATCATGCAGATCATAATTGATTGATGGTATAAGTGGTAGGGTTATTACGTTATACAAAAATTTCAACTTTAAGATAATACGTTACCCACAAAATCCATCTCAATTTTTTAACATGATTCAATATAGAAACTTATGATGAAATTTCTGTAGCCATTTAAAAATTATGATTTCATTCTAATAATTAAATTTTATACTCTTATATTTCTATATTTTATTAATTATTTGTGATTTTAATATTAAGTTTTTTAAGTAGAATTAAAATTGTGATTTTTTTTATATACTTTGATTCTAAATACATGTAACTAATGCTAATCGGCATGTTGATGATATGATATTGATATTAATATTTTATTATGCGACAAATAAAAATTGAATAACTACGCTTTTTTAATAACATTGTATCATGTTAATCTGAATAATAAATTGAATAACTTTGCATGGTAAATGGCATTGTATGGAAGTTATAATTGTTTAAAAATGTCACCATGACACTCCTTTCATCTCCATATATAAGGTATTTTTTAAAAATTTATTTTATCTTTAAATATAAAAAGTGTTATGATGTTTTTAAATAATTAAATAATTTTGCCTTTATCTTGAAAAATGAAGGAGACATTAATTATGTGTTATACCAACCATACGTGACATTATTAGAGACAAAATTGAAAAATCATTTTAATGTTATATTATTTCGACTAAATAACAAACGTTTATTGATGTGTACGATTTGATTAAAAATATCTTATATATAAAGACAAATGAAAGTAGTCTATAAATAAACGGTATTGGTGTGGTAGTTATGATCGATTAAAAAATGGGTTAATGGTATTGGTATGGTGGAAATTTTTTTGGAAGCAATGTTATCCCAAAATTTTCTAAAATAATGTGATGTTTACTATTCCCTCCGTCAAAAAATATAAGACATTTTTTGAGGAGATAGATATTTAAAAATGTAAGGTATTTTTAATCTTTTGATGTGTAATCATTACCTTTCCTCTAAAAGTATCCATATTAATAATGATTTTATATTTATTATAAAGTATTTGATAGGGTGAATATGAAAAGATAAGGATTAGTTTGAAAGTAGATAGCTACTTTATTAAGGGGTGAAATTCGATTAAAAATGCCTTACATTTTTAAAAAGAGAGATTATTAAAGTCAAACTTTGATCGTAGAAAGTTTCACCTGGCTTTTTTCCCCCTTAATTTTCTCTTATTGATTAGGCATTAACCATTGCTTTGCTATGTCATTAATCTCTCCTTCCTCTTCATTCTTCTTTTTCTTCATCGTCTTCTTTAGCTCACGCTTTTTCCTTGCAGATCTTGGTTAGTCTCAATCACATTGCCCTCATAAGAAGCCCTGAAGATCTCCCTTTAAATTATCAGGATCGAGAAACACAATGCTTATGAGAAAACCAGGGTTAATGATCTTCTTCGATGAATCATATGCAGTTTTTAACACTCCTCCTTGCACAAGCCAAGGAGTGGTTTCTCATGACTATAGAACTTCAAGTTTCAAATCAAGGACAAAACCCTAGCCACCTAATTTTAAATCTTAGAGGTGTTAACTATTCCTCATAGGAGGTCATCCATACCCAAATCTGGTTCCCACTGCACCACCATTGATTTCTAGGTTATTAATTCTTCAAGCTCTTCAATGATTTTTATGGGTTATGGGATAAATTGAGGAATGAGCTTTGTCAAACATGGCGATGGTTGATTTAAGGGAAAGAATAATTTTGATTTTGGGAACCTCGGTCGAAGATGACAAACATTGAGGTTAAACTTGTAAAAGAGTACTAATCAATAGAAAACATGGACATTTGCGATGGTTTTGGATTTGTTTCAATTCATTTTATTCGATAATCCTAACTTGCAGTGGACAATGGGAACACACACATCTGCTGCATTAGGGGGACACGTTGCTCTAACATAATGATGTTCATGGATTGCTGAGAGGCCTTTTTTTGAAATATAAGAGGCAAGCTAGGCTTGGAAGAAGTTTAGCAAAATAAAACGGAGGTTAAATAAAACATTGATCCCCTAAGTACATAGCAAGACATTCATTAGGAACACAGGGTAGTAAAGTCGTCTCAAGTGGACTTGCTTGACCTATTTTAGCCATATAGTCTGTGCATTGAATAATCTCTCTGTGGGAATGTTGCAATGTGACTCCCTCATTTAGGAAGAGGAAATTCCTGATAAACTCTATGTCATCACGCAATGGGTGATCAAAGGCTTGGTCATAATTCAAAGTATGGATGGCTTCCTTGGAGTCTGAATATATTTTAATCTTTTTGGAGTTTAGTTAGTCGCAAACCTCCAGCCCTACTTTAATGGCTAATATTTCAGCATTTGTACTCTGACAAGGGCCAAGGTTTTTGTGAAAACCTATTACCCACTCGCCTTTGTTGTTCCTGATTACTCCCCCACAGGCAACGTGATGTTGATCTTTTACAAAACTATCGACATTAAGGCGAACATGGCTATTAGTGGGTGGAGTCCAGACGTCCTCCATGGACAAAGTGCTGAGGAAAACCTTGTGAATTAGTTAGTTGTTGATCACTTGTTCTAACAATAAATCAATGCACTTGTGTATTATCTCATTTGCTTTGGGCCTTTGACCTTCAAACACAAACTTGCAACGAAGGTCCAAAGGCCCCAACAGACCAGACTGAAGACACACGTCTAGGGCCATGATTTAAAGACACCATATCCTGGAGAGTGTGTAGAGTTCCAATTGAGCCAGACCTACAAATCACCAATAAAAAAACTAGAAGTAAAGTTAGGTGATAATATCCCTCTCTAAATTTGTTTCACTCATTCACAATCTCTCAATAAATGGATTAAACTTTCCTCATAATGACACTCGAAAGGGCCCTCAAAGTTATTTGTGAAACCTCTCAAGGCTCTGAGTGAGTTTGTAGCAACTCTCTCATGGGACACTTGCCACATAAAAAGTTTGATTTTTTCTAAAACCTGCCATCTCCATATTCTCACCCAAAAGGGTTCCTATTATTAGCAGAAGGTTAAGTGAGATAATCATAGGCGTTGTTCATTGTAAATTGGCCATCTGTAGATGGTCTCTACCAATACTCATCAGTTCTAAATCTAGTGGGTGGTTTGATAGATTTAACAACATTTATGACCCAAGAAGGCAAAAAATTATACCAAGGAGATATATTCCAAAGCCCATCATAAAGAAGCTGGTCATGCACTGTGGCTGCTTGGTTGAGGAGGTTAAGATTTTGTTCAACATAGCATATGAGTAGCTTGGGGAGAGGCATTCAGAGGTCAAGCTCGAAATGAGTGTTTTTGCCACTATTAATTTTCATTCCCGAGGCTTGCAAGAATATATCTCAAACCTTACAAATAGATCTCTAAGTAAGCGAAGAGTTTCTTTTTTTCTTCACAGATTCTAGGTGGTGGGGGTTACAATTATATTTAGCCTTTAAGCAGCAAACCCATAAAGTGTTAGGCTTTGTGATAAGATCCAACAAAGCTTGAGAATGAAAGCTTTGTTTTGATTACCTAGAGATCTAATACCAAGACCACCATCTTTTTTCTTATTGATCACTGTATCCCATGCTACCATATGACTACATTTAACATCTTCATTTTGAGACCAAAGGAAGCTTCTGCTGATTTGTTCAATTCTAGCTAGTGTACCTCTAGGCAATAGAACAAATTGCATCTGGTAACTGGGCATAGCAGATAGAACTGCTTTGATGAGAATAGACAACCCTGTTATGCTTAGGTATTTGCTTTTCTAACTAGATAGGCAGTTGCTAACTTTTGAACTAAGGGGTTGAAGGTGGCTTTAGTGACTTTTTTGTGGATGATGGGGACACTAAGGTACTTTCCCAAGTTCAATGCAAGTCCAATCCTTAAAGATTGACTGAGTTGTAGGGCATGATTAAAACCGACATTACGAGAAGCAAAGACTTTAGATTTATCCAGATTTACTCTATGACAAGAAGCAAGGCAAAATTTGTAACAGACCTGATTTTTACCATAATTTTTTTTTTACAAAAGAAAACCTCCCCCCTTTATTTTTATAAATAAATATTTTTTAAAAAATGTGCCTGTCCAAACAAAGTGATATCAAGATTAATAATTACCACTGGGTTTAGCGCAGATGAGGCCCAATAAATGATTTACAGCAAGTCCAGGGTTTGATAATAATTTATAGATATAATCAACTATGCTAAACACACATTTTTCTTATACCATTAATATGTACAATCCAAAATAAATAGGCTTGGCCTAATAGAAAACCATAGTCTAGATTGACATGTTTAAAAGTTATCCAGCTCAAACAAAAAGATTGAGTAGTTATAATCGAATAACCTATAACAATTATCTAAAATAAAATTTATAAGGGTCCTTAGGTCATGGTAACTATAATTACAAAATAAATAAAAAACTACATGCCAAGTCGAGAGAAGGGAGCCTAAGCTCACTTCTTCAGTACCTTCCCTATAACTTCACTTAACTACTCACCTAAAAATGATAACAAGTAACATGTAAGATTAAAAATCCTAATAACAGTTGGTTATTCTAATATATACCAACATATTTCTTGAAATCAGTTCACAAACATATCTATAGATATACACATGCATTTCATAATCAATACACAAAACAAGAAATGCAATATTCATAATTTTATAATAATTTCTCAATCAATGTCAAACTAAAACAATAATGGTACATTTTCCAACCTCACCCTTATGGCTCCCAACTCCCTTATTACCACTAGCTGGAGCCTAAACTGAGGTTATACCCGGTTAAAGGTACATTGCCATTAGAATAGGACTCCATTTCTTAAAAAAGGGGTGCCTATCATCTCAAAATGTCAAAGACATTGGGAACTACAAGAAAAAGCCCAACCACTATGCGCGTAGTAAAGGCAAACCACGCGATATAATATTCAATCATCAATCCCAAACAAACAATCATATTACTAGCCATCTTTATTACCTCTTTTGCATCACATAAAACAAATGTCACATTTTACAATAAAATCACACAAGTATTAATATATATGTAGACAATACTAAAAACCAGTATCTCAATATATGAAAGAATATTCCAATGTTACCTCTTCTTCAAGCTATAACTAACTCAGACTTGTAAGGAACTTCTTAACCACGATAATAAATTAATCTACGACATTGAATAATATAAATACCATTAGATATATATATATATATATATTGTAATTTATCAATTAAATATAAAATTCAACTAAACTTCCCAAATTTACAATCATATCCTTCCAATCTAAATCCCTCTGATAAAAACCCAAAATTAAATTAAATTAACTTATTTAAATCCTAAAAGCATAATTTAATCAATATAGATATCTTATACATCAAAAATCACAAATTTTATAGTTAAAAACTTAATTTTAAACTCTTAAATCAGTTAATAAAACAAATCTAAACTGATAAAATTTAAGTACTAATTTATCTCTATTAATTAATAGTTTTCGTTATTAAAAGTTAATACTTATTCTAAGTTTAAACTTTAAAATTTGCTTTACTTATCAAAATTTTACTATTATTCGAAAGTTTTGGATGAGTAGGAAAATATTTATAAAAGAAGTTTTTAGAATAGAAATAGTTTTTAAGCATAAAATCTTATTTCAAAAGCCTTCAAGCCCTTATCCTTCTCCTCTCTCTCTCTCTCTCTCTCTCTCTCTCTCTCATCTTGTGCGTGAAAATGAGATATATGAGAGAGCAAAGCCAATAAAATATATGTATTGGCCTTAATTTTCACCGCCTCTTCTTCTTATTCTCTCTCTTTTTTTTAACTTCAATACACTTCCTTATTAAGTCTTCTCTTTATTATATATATATATATAATCACTTATCATTATTATTTCCAATTTCTAAAAGTAAAACTTAACATGAAATTATATCCTAAGTTAAACAAAATCTCCTAATTAATTTATTTATCTTCAAACATTCTTTCAATTTTTATTAATTCTAATTAACTCTAAAAATTAAAGTAGAATGTTACAGAAATTGTGCATGACATGTCATATTTCTTCCATTTGGTCAATTGATGCTTCTGTGAACAAGATAAGGTCATCAGCAAAGAAAAGATATGAGATTTCGGGGCCATTCCAAGTGAATCTAAATGGTTTCTAATTTTTTGATTCACATTCAACTTTAATAGAATGTCCAAGCCTCTCCATGCATAAAACAAAGATATAGGGGCTAAGAGGGTCACCTTGTCAGGCTAAGAGAGTCACCTTGTCGAACGCCTCTTGATGGCCTAAACTCTTCACTTTATTCACCATTCCAAAGGATACAAATTATTATTGAATTGATACATGTCATAATAAGGTGGATGAGGTTCTATTCAAGGCTAATGCAATTTAGTGTATCTTCTATGAAAAGCCAGTCAAGTCTATCAAAAGCTTTTTTCATGTTCACTTTTACAGCAACATAACCCTTTTCCCTCTTGGTGCATCGCATGGAATGGATGACTTCTTGAGCTATTATAATGTTATCACAACTAGATCGCCCTGTGATGAAGCTACATTGCTCTTGCCCAATCGGTTCATCCATAGCACTCTTAAGCCTGTTTGCCAATAGTTTTGTGACAATTTTGAAACTCACATTACAAAGGGAGATGGGCTTGAAATCCTTTAAAGAAGAGGGGCTGTCACATTTAGGAACAAGAACAATGTTGGTCTTGTTGATACTAGTAACTTGAGAAGGGTCGACAAAAATATCTTTGATCAATTTACAAATAGATGTTCCGATTGTGTTCCATTGAGTTTGAAAAAGGTGGGCTTGATTGCCATCAAGACCAGAAGCTTTGAATGCAACCATAGAGAAAGCAACATTTTTTATTTCTATATCATCAACTTGTCTATGAATCTATGATAAAACAAAATCATGTAGCCTAGGAAAAGCAAAAAACTAACCATTTGGAGGTGGCACAGAAGGATCTTTACAATAAAGACTTTTGAAGAAATTGTGTGTCATTTGCTTAAGGATGGATTGTTCAGAGATCCACATACCTTCATCATTTTTAAGAGAGGTGATCTTCTGTCATTTCCTTTTTACGATGGTTGATGCATGAAAGTAGCTGGTGTTTTTGTCTTCCCATCGAAGCCAGTTACAACGTGATTTTTGGCACTAGATCATTTCTTCTTGATTAGAAAGTTTGATGTACTCTTACCAAAGCTTATCTTCAAGCCTTTTGAGCCTATTATGTGAATTTGTCTTTCTGCTCTTATCTATCCCTTCTAATCTTCAGAGAACCACTAGCTTTTTCTTCAAAATGTTCCCGACATAGGAATTATTCCATTCAGTGGTAGTTCTTTGAAAAGTAGAGACTCCATCAGTCCAATTTTGTTGATTCCAAGCTTTTGCAACGAGTCCTTGGAAATCATCCTCCATGGTCCATGCAGCTTGATATGAGAATCTTTTTGTTTTGGGAGGAAGAGGTTGGAGGCTTTCTGAGCTAAACAGAGTAACTCTATGATCTGATTTGTAGCGGAGATCGTGAAGTAGAGATGAGGTAGGAAATTTGTTGATCCAGGGGAAGTTTACAAAAGCCCAATCAAGATATTCTTTAACACTTGAGAGGGCTTTGAATATTGTTCAAATTGTTCAATTATTAGGACTCGAATATTGTTAATAACTTAAGTGCTTACAACTCTTTTCCACATCTGTTCAATTGTAGATTTTGATTGTTGTTGAAAATTTGGATTTCATTTTTCAGCTTAGTGCTATGGGTTTGATTTTAGTTTTTGGTGTCCTGAGTTTGATTTTGATTGTACAATGGATAATAAAGAAGCACACATTGACAAAGATGAAGCAGACTGGATGAGGATGCATTTTTTTCATTAATCAATTATCTATCTCAACATGCCATGTGTATATTTTCTGGTCAAACGAAGTTAAATTTCTCTAACTTAAGATTTAACTGTGGCAACATTGGTCTCAAAAAAATTTAAAATATGAGTTGTCTTTTGAAAAAAAAATTCAAAACATTTTTATCTTTTTACCTTTAAAAAAGTGCTTTTTATAAGAAAAAATCGCTTCCTCATTTATAAAAGATAGCAAAAAAAATTAACCAAAAAAACAAAAAAGATAAGGGTAATACCAGAGCATGATTTCAAATTCAAATTTATAGCCGAAAAATACCTGAACTCGAATATTGTTTCACATCACACGTCAGGCTAACTGCTCTTTAATCCAATCTTGTGGAAGGAGGTGGAAGCAGCAACCTCTCAAAATTTGTAAAATCAAATCATATCAAAACTAACGCCCGATTAGCCTTCCAAACTCAACCTCCATTGATTGAAGCTCCCGTCTGAGTCTTATTTTATCAGATTGCTTCTTCGTCGTCGTATCTACCCTCCCTACCTTGCTCTGCTTCTCGGCCTCTTGAATGTTTCATCCTTTCCTTCCTTCCCACCAAACACGACTATTGATACTAATGTGAGTTATTCTCACTCTCTTTCTCACCCACAATTGGAATCAATTCCTAATTTCCTTAGAGAATATTCTTCTGTTTTAATAATTCCCAATTCCCTCCCTACCTTTCGTCCCCTCATCCGAGGCTAAGGTTTTTCAGATGGAAACTTTTGCGGTTTCCGATTCCCGTTCCGTTCCCGTTCTTCTTCCTTTCTTTTCTCTCTTCCTACTCTCCTACCTCATCGCTTATTTCATCGTATTCCGTAACTGGAGCCCTAAGATCCGACCCGAAGCTTCTAGCTGCTTTATTTCTCTTCTTCACGGCACCCCCGCCGTGGCCCTAGCTACCATCGCCATCCTCTCCGACTCAAACCGCGGCTTCGATGGTTTGAACACCACGTTTCAGAAGATGGTTCTCGATTACAGCATCGCTTACTTTCTCATGGATCTTCTGCACTACATTGTCTTCTTCCCTAGCGATGTATTATTCATAGGTCACCACCTGGCCACCCTCTTCGTCATTTGCACATGCCGCTATGTCGTCTCGCACGGGGCTTTCGCAATTCTCTTCCTTTTGATTCTCGCCGAGGTGACCAGTTTGTGCCAGAACGTGTGGACGCTAGCCGGTGCGCTGAAGAGCGACGTTCAGATTGCAGCTAAGGTGTATGATCTTTTGTCTCCTCCATTTTATATTTTGTATTCGCTGGTTAGGGGTTTTGCTGGCCCCTATTTTATCTTTAGAATGGTAGTGTTCTATGCGAGCGGGCTTGTCGATGGTCTAATACCAAAGTGGGTTTGGATTTCTTGGGTAGGCGTGGTGTTGACGGCTATTGGTGTGAGCATTATGTGGATTTCGAATCTTTGGATTGAACTTTATAGGGAAAGAACCAGAAAATTAGAGGAGAAAATAAGATAGGGCTATACAGCAGCGTCTGAATATCTGTAACTCTGTTTTTCAGTTATTATTGGTACTGATTATAAAATACCACAATTTGGATCCAATTCCTTCTTGTTCCTCCTTTGGGTACTGGGGATGGTTGGCTCTAGTGTAACTAAGAACTGGGAAAGGGTGTGATGGGAAGTTCAAGGTTTTTCATGCTGTTCCAGAACACCTTTTATGTGTTTTTTTTTTTTGGGTATAATTTCTTTCTATGAATAAAGATATATAATCGAATTCACAGGAGTTTATTTAACAATCAGTGCCCATACCTGTGAAGCATGCTGAATTGATTTTTGACACCGCCTTTACTGCTTTTAGAATGGGGGAATAAGTTTTTGCTCAAAAAAAAAAAAAAGAATGGGGGAATAAGTTGTTAATCTTGGACAGATAGATTCATTCAAGTTGTTTCAAAGTTTTGGTCTGGGAGAAAACCATGTCCATGTTGAAGCGATCCTTAAAACATTGTTCGGCAGTAAAACGCTAATAAAGATTATGGACATTACGCATGGCATTTAAAGACTATTTAATGTCCTTAGCGTTGGTATCGTGGTCATTCAAGAACAGAGGTACGGACAAGTGAAGGGGGTAGAAAAAACACGACAAATGACTTTGACGTCACTGATAGGGCTAATCTCAAATGCGAAGGTGTGGGGACTGACGTCACGTGAACATAATTAAGTTAAGGGCAAAGTTTGCCGGTACAGAAATCTTACAGGTTGTGGGCATTCATTCCGGGAAGAACATTTAGAATCTCTAAAATGCACACGAGCACTTATAACAAAATTTTGACAAGTATTTGATTTGTGCACATTTTTATCTGATATTTAATTATTTTAGTGGTCATTCATTGATATTTAGCCTTCATCCCATGTGCAATGTGTCGCATTCTCACACACTAATCTTGAACGTGAGTGCGACCTCGAATGGCCTTGAGGAAATTTGACATTACATCAAGAAAGCGTGTTGATACGTAATAGTTACTCCTTTGATTCTCTTTTTAAAATTATTTCTATCAATCTTATCAATATTAAATTACTAATATAAAAAAAAATAAAAGTGTATAGAATTTTAAATATGTCCCTATATATAATAAATTAAAAAAATTAATCATTTAATCCTTATAATTTTGATTAAGTTATAATTCAATCTCTAAACTTTAATTTGTTATAATTTAATAGTTAAAGTATTGATTCAGTTGTAAATCAATTCCTGAACTTTGCTTCTTGTAATTTAGTCCCTATAGTTTTAACCTTTAAATATTGATTTTTATATTAAAATAAAATAAAATTATCAAAATTAAAAATATTTTAAAATTTTAATATTTATAATATTTATGAAGATTAAAATGGTTTAGTAATTTAAAATATTTGTAATAAATTTTAAAATATTTTTAATTTTTATAATTTTATTTTTTAAAATATAGGAATCAATATTTAAAAGATTAAAATTTTAGGGATTAAATTGTAAGAGAAAAAGTTTATGGACTAATTTATAATCAAGTTAAAATTTCAGGGATTTAATTATAATGAGTCACAAAGTTCTAGAACTGAGTTACAACTCAATCAAAATTATAAGGATTAAATAATTAATTTTTTCTAATAAATTTAAAAAGTAATGTTATACTCTTTCGTCTCAAATTACAAGACATTTTTAAAAGAGTTTTTCCTTCTCAAAATATAAAACACTTTGAATAGATTAAAATTTTATTAAATGCGTCAATTCTAATATTACCATTTCTCTTTATAATTAATTTTCATTCTTTTTTAATATATTAAATGATATGTATTTTTAAAAGTTTATATTTTTATTTTAAAAAGATAAAGTTGTTAAGCGTATTTAATAAAATTTATTGATATATAAAATTTTATTTAAAAATATTTTATAATTTAAAATAAAAGGAGTATTATTTTCTTCCTGGAGAATAACTTTTAAAATATTTTTAAAATATATTTGTTTAAAAAATCGTAGCGTAATTTATAAAGTGAATCAAATATGAAGGAGGGTGTAGATGGAAAACTGTCACTTTGGTATATTCTGGCCAGGGTGTGGTTAAGCATTGGTGGTCGAGTAAGCTTAGAGAATTGAAAACGAAGAAAACAGAGAACGAGATAAAGGTGGGCCCCTACGAAGCTGACACCGGCGGCAAACCCTATGAATTTCGTTTCGTTCAAGGACAACAATTTGGGTTGTCAGTTGTCGAATTGGAGAAAGTCGCCTTGTTTAATTTTCTTTTGGTTTTAGTGTCTGGAAGGACATTATTTTCTACCGTCTCCATTCTCTGAGTCTCAGCAAGGTCGGTTTATTTTCCGCTGAATAAAAAAGAGATGGATAACCACACAAACTACATGGAGAGAAACAGAGGGAACTACGTGATTTGTTTGTCTAAATTCATAATTTATCTCTAAATCCTATGAGTATTTGATATTTGATCAAGTTACATCGTGCGTTATTAAGTTACTGATGTGTCTTGTAATATTCAGTTATCAGCATTCGTTTAATATATAAAATACAACTAGTAATAAGTTATATTTCCAAGTCATGAAAAATTCAAATCATTTTTCAAACATCATGTAATACAGGGAAACATATTTAGCAGCATGATAATAATTATCCAACCAATCTTGTGACTGTTTTTCTTTCTTAGTTGCAACTTGTTTGTGATCGACTTTCTTTTCGGTTGAAAAACGAAAATATTCTTCCGTAGAGTATATCGCACTCCGTGCTGAAACGTATTGTGTTTGTTTCTTCCTTGATCATGTCAGTTTAACTTTTTCCGATCTTTCTGGAAACTAATTAAAAAAATACAATACCTGAGATTAAATTCCCTTGCGAAAAGCATGCACCTAAGCTATTAAAAAAAAAAAATTCACGGATCTCATACGCACATCGCATTATATCTGCCCGGGAACAGTGTGCATATATTATATATCGATACATAATTAAAACTGTAATCAGACACAAAACAAGCCGTGTGCAGAGAAAATCAAAGCGCAATACAGGGAAGGAAGATCTCCGTGTTTTGATATATATATATATATATATATATTTTGGTCACGTAACTGGGTTCCACTAGTGCTTATATTCGTAGCATGATAGAAGAGGATGGGTCTTGGTGACTGGGCAATCAGCATCATCTTATTGGTAAAATCCATAGGTCTTGGCATTGAGTATAATCAGCCTTAGTCCTCCGATAGGTGAGAGAACCATCAGTAGAACTCCTAGAATAATGCAGATCTGGAAACAGTGAAAACCAGTGAGTAAACTAAGATCCCTTGATCAAATTTATTCAGCAAAAAATGATAGAAATGTATCATTCAAGTGAACGTACCCAATTGGTGATCCAGGACAAGCTGAACTTCCTAGGTTTGTAAATAGCAAGCCATATTATGCAGGGGAGCTGTCAATTTAGATTATGTCGCAAAATGGAGTTAGCCAGTTATGACCTATCTCGTTTTTTAGTAGGAACAGAAATCACATAGGATTTTGGTTAAAGTAAAGTTCTTTAAGAGTTACATATCAAGTACTGTTGAACTGCAAAATGTGTCTGGTTTTGTCCAAAAAAAAGAAAACGATTAAAAAAATTATATATTGATTACGTATAAAGGAGCATTGAGGGATTTACAAAGTAGGTTGTTGGAGCAAAAGCAAATCCTCCGAAGAATCCAAGAAGAGCGCCGAAGAAGGGGAATGTAATTCCCACAAACATAGTGAATGCTGAACCAAACCATTAATATGCTAATGAGAAGCAGATAGATGTGAATCCAGTGAAAGGAACTTGACACAACTAACAAAGAATGAAAAGAGAGAAGGGATTCTTCTGCTCTCACCAACGTATAAATTGCGAACAACAAAACGTAGCAGACGGGAGGGTCTGAAATGCAATTTCTTTACCATCACAGTCTCAATCATGTCAAAAACAGGCATAGCATATAGCTGCAGAGCCAGAGACGCGGAAAGAGGCAAGAAACTTAGAAATGATTCGATCATAAAGAAGAAGAATTATTTTCGTAGGGAAATCACTAGTTGCACGTACCTGGTAGCTTCCAATGACATGAATCACGACAAATAAGTTTGCGGCTACTATGAGCCAAGTTGGCTTCTCCAAAGAGATGAGGATGTTGTCTGCAACTGCATTGCCAAACATCCAATAGCCTATAAGAGCGACAGGGAAGTAGCACAAGGCCACAACTATGTATGCTATGAGCACTCCTTTCCACATAGGTCCCTTTGATGGCTTCTCAGGAGAAGAGGGGATGGTGGCTTGGATCTCCAACACCACATTGTGTCCGGCGTAGGCGAAAGCGACGTCTCCCAAAGCATTGAAGAAACTGAAAACCGTACCTGGTGAAGTACTGGCTTTGTACCCATACTGCACATCTGGTTGAACACCCTTGTGCACAGAAGCAGCCCAGGCAATAGTTGAGTAGCTGCTCAATCATGTAACATCCCAAACATGTTTTAGTTAAGTTTGAAGACAAGAGGGTCAAGCAAAGGAGAACGGAATCAGAAGACTGTTCTATCAGGAACCTGTACAATTTCTCACATCTGTGATCTTAGTTCAAACATTTAGTGACGTTTCTAGCTCAAAAGTCTGATGAATGATTAGAAAAATGTCAACAGAAAGGAAAAGGGACGGAAGAAAATTGTGAAAGCATTTATCTTTTCAGGGAGGTATTCTTGGATAACTTATGTTTACAGCATCAACTATGAATCACACTTCGTCAGAAAAGATTGGAGGAATGCAAAGTTGTTTACATGACTAGAATAAACAAAGTTGTCCCTTCTTATAAAGTGTTTAGTTTTAGTCTGCAAAATTAATGAATGCAAAAGTAGTCCTAAAAAATTACAAAACACATCATAGGTCAGACATTTAGTATCCATGAATTATTTGACAAAATAACTAGGATGAAATTAATGTCATTTTCAAGCAACTTGCATGCTTACTTATTTTTAACAAAGAATGGATGGCTCTAATAATTCAGAAACCAAGCGTTTTTATTGACAACCTAGCAACACTACTCTTTTGTCCTTGATAGCGAAAATAGTGTTAACATTTCAAAAGTGGTGGCCCAGGTTTTGGAAAATAAGGAATATAGACATAGAAAAAGAAGATGGAAAAGGACATAAATGAGACATCTTTGGTTTACTTGAGCGAATGGGTTGACTCGCCATAAATGAAACGTACTAGTTAGTTCTCACCTCAAAGACATGACTGCCGCAGCGAGAGAAATTCCAGCAATGGAATTGAAATTGGGAAGGTGAGCGAGAACGAAGTGAACGGAGGCGAAGATCATGATGAAGTAAGAAGTTTTAATGGCCTTGCAATTATGACACAAAAGGTTATGAACTTTCTGCAGAGACTTGCCTCCGGTGACCATATAAACGATGTCAACACCAACTTCACATATCAGTTGCTGAGGCACCACAATCCACAGACCCAGCTTCTCTCCAAAAGCATGCTGCCCCAACTCATGGTATCTGTCAAACCTCTTTCCCGGCACCATCTCATGCATCTCCACCATTTGCCACAGCGTGTACAGAGTTATTATCCATGACAGTATCAGAATCACCACACCAGGTCCCCTGTAATTAATACCCAAAAAAATTGGACCTGGACTGAAGATTTGGATGAAGAGAATGGCAAGTGTTGTGAAGATGGTATGCTATAGGATGTACCAGCCGAGATTTGACATGGCGGAGGGGAGACTGAGGACGCCGGCGCCAACCATGGCGGTGACGTTGTGGAAAGCAGAGTACCACCATTTTGCGTTCCGGGAAGATGTGATGGGAAGCCATTCATCTATTGCCTTCAGCTCCTCTGTTCTTTTGTCTGTCTGCCATTTTTTTTTTTACCATATTCAACAACAACAACGAGAACGAGAAGGCAGAAATAAGCAAACCAAACACAACAAATTTACCTCGAGCGACGGGAAAGAGGCTTTCTCTGTCGCTGCATCATGAGCAGTTAGATTCGATGCAGACTCGGACTCTGTTCCCATGGAGATCAAGGTTGGAGTTTTGCCATCGCCCATCCCTGAGTGGAAGGAAATGAGCTGTGAAACAATGAAACGGGAGATATATTTTAAACTTAAGCTGAAATCAACGTCAACGGTATTGTAGTCTGACGAAGACTCTCAAGATAAGTCCGTCTGCAAAGACAATACACGTATCTTCCAAGTCGGCAATTTGTTTCATACCATCAACAATTAATTCCTTGACAAATATATATTATATCACACCATATTCGTCATTCATGTTCTGTGTTAATGCGTAATTAATGTATGATTATCTGTTCAAGTGATTAACGTGCATGCATTTATGCATGAAAGGTAAATATATATAACTGTTTGAAAAATACTTTAATACATAGAATGCATCACGTCATTTATAATATATTCAATTAAAATATAATATTTAAATAGTATTAAATATAAATTAATTTTAATATTAATAATAATAAAAAAAAAGTAAAAAATTAAATATGTATCATGTTATAAAAATAAAATTAATTAAAAAAATATCACATAAAATTTTATCTAGATTATTTAAAATATTTAATTAAACAGAATACAAATCACAGTAGTGCATATAATCTACTTAAGTGTTTCTCTTAACTGTTTATATACCGATCATTAAGTACAGGATGAACAAAGGGCGAAGAATGAACGTATCACCCTCTGTATTCAATGAACATAAAACTAAATACATTTTCATACGTTGTACGTACAACAAACGAAGAGTTTCATGATCTTTCGCTGCTGCCGTAAAAAAATCAATATATTGTTCTGTGACTGTGGTGGAGCATTGCGCTTTTCAAGCTTGAAAAATATTTTTTGAGTTTTTTAAAGAATAATAAAATTTTTAGTTTTTTAAGTTTATTGCTTTAGCTATTGATATAGTTCTTTAAATTTATTTTTTTACCATGTTAATCCCTCAATTTTTCTTTAAATGTTAATTTAATCTTTATTATTTAAAAAAATAATATTTTTAAAATACACTGACATGAATAACAAATATTAATAACAGTTGTGTATATTAATAAAAAATATAATTATTTAAATAGAAAAAGCTCAATTTTTTTTGAAAAATAAAAGAACAAAATGCAACATGAGATATTATGTTGATAAAAATTAAATTAATTCAGAGATTAATTTGTTATCGTAAACATACCAAATCACAACATACTTTATTTTGTAGTAAACTTATATGATGCATATTTTACATTGAGATTACTAGATAGGTCTACATAAATTAATTTTGTAGTAACTAGAAACTTTTTTGATTGCAGATTGAACACTAGAAAAATCATGATTTTGATAGCCAAAAAACTACAAATGATTGCTAACCTCTCACAAAAGAAGGCGATCGTTAATTAACATTGGATCAAATACAAGTCTTGTCCTTTAAAAAATTAATAGCATTAAATTCTTCTTTTCTATATATACCTTCATAAATTGGAATGTAGAAAAAAATTAATAAGAACGAAATTGAAAGTGATTAAGATATAATGATTTTAATTAGAAAATAACTTTAAAAATAGTTACAACTTTTTATTATCATCATAACAATACAAATCACTTTTAAAGGGAGTTAAAACCGAGAAAGAAAAAAATAACCTTCGGCTGCAAAGCCTTGTAAAGGGCGTTGTTCTAAATTTTGACTGAAATTTCTGATATATTTTGATAGAATCAATTCTCGAGGTTAATGTTTTTCAGTTTTTGTAGTACTTACGGAGTGGCACGAGGCGACAACTCCCAGGCCCAAGTATACACAAGGGAACACGGTGCTTTAATATTATTAAGAAAAAAATATACATTTAAATTCTTATATTTTACTTAAGTTTGATATAGATTTTTATATTTTTTTTTAGTATTTTAAGTTCTCACATTTTTTATTTTTAAGTATTTTGGATTCCAATAACACTGCTCATGAAGGGATTTCAAATATTAAAAAATAAAAATATAGAAACTTAAAATATTTAAAAAAAATGCAAGGATCTATAATAAAATTTAAATAAAGTTTAAGGATCCAAAGCCTTCCTTTGATTAAATAGGAAAAGACTTGTGTACTTGTTACTTAGTCTTGTGTATTTAATATATTTTTTACCCAATCATATCAAGAAATAAATAATTTGTAAAAGATTCACATATTGTAATTTAATTGGAACAAGCGTCTTAAATATGTAAGATTAAATATATAAATTTTTACTGAAATGAATAAAAATTGGTGTTAGTGGCAGGGAATCTCTTTACTTAAGTAAATGGTTGGGGTTTTGATGATTTAAATCTCAACCTTTGTATATGCAATTTAGTTGAAAAATTTGTACATCACTACCATATGACAAAGAGTTGACATTGTTGTATTCTTTATGATATTTGACTATCTTCTTCACTTTTTTTATCGCTCACAAGTATTCTCTTATTGAAGATAATTTTATTCAAGATATAATTAAATACTAAGGTTATGTTTGCTTACTAGAATGGAATGGAATATATTAAAAAAATAAAAGTAAAAATAAGATGATAAAAGAGGATAAGTAAGCATATTTAGAAGGGGGTAATTTAATTTATGAAATTAGGAATCATGATTCATGAGATTTTTAAAGGATGTGATGATTTTCACATTTATAGTATATATTAATAAGTTTTATCATACTTACCATAGGAGAAAAAGTGATTTAATTCATTTTTGTCTTGATTTTTTCAATCAATTTTATTCTATTATATTCTACTATGTAAATGTGACCTAATTGCAAGCATATCTTCCAACAAAAATTCAAATTTTGATTTATCACATTATGGGATAAGTAGTTTTTTCTATTAGACTCAACTCTCATTAATTATTATATACTTCACTTTGAAAATTAAAACATTGTTTTTGGTTTGATATATTAATCCGAAATTTATTTTCCTGATTTTTAACAAATATATGTTGCTACTAGTGCATTATCTGTTTTTGGTTTGATATATGTTGACTTTGTTGAGATTATCTTTTACATATTTGATCATCCACTTCCTTGCTTATCTGAAAGGGGTGAATTATGAATGATTCAGCTCTTATTTAATCTTTTGACTTGGTTGTATTTCTAGTTATGAATGCATTTCAGTTTGATTTTTTTAAAAAAAAAAATTGGTTATTCCATGCGGTACCGATGCAACGTCGGGTGTTAGGCAAAAATGGAAATATGAGATCTCCCTGCATTTTCCAGCATAGTGCTGCTAATCAGTTTTTAAGTTCTTTGATTTATTATTGCTTAGTCTCTCCAACAATTAGTTTATAAACCTTAAATGACTTCATTGTTATTGTTTTGATTATTATTTTTTTACATTGTACATATACGTTCATTTCCTAAAAATAAACCTGTTTATTTTGATAATTAATCAAAAAAGGAATAAAATTACGTAAAAGCCCCTTATAATTTATAAATGTTCCCCATCCCATTCCTTCCTGGATATTTTTGTAACTGAAACAAAAAGACAATGGCACATTTTTGGAAATTTAATGTGAATTCACCAAAAAAAAATTACCATTCCAGTTTTTCCAGGACATGCACAAAGGCAATATGTACTTGTAATAATAATTAAGAAAAACACACGAAAGCCAATATATATAATAAGACCCTCTGGCCGTAGTTTTCTTTAATTTCCACCAGCTGGTTGATAGATACATCATGAGCCAACCTTTTTCAATCAGTTGTGAAGATTTGCAGGTACGTCCTACGAGTCTGGCTCTTCACTACACAACCATCTGTTTCATCCGTTTCTCGCATTAGCATCACTCTCCAGTGAGTGAAGGTTTAAGAGTAAAATTTGTAGGTCTTGGCCTTAATTATGATTGTCCTTAATCCTCCAATGGGTGATACAATCATTAAGCACAATCCAAGCACAATGCAGATCTGAAACAGTGAAATCCATAAAGCAAGAGTTCAATCCATTTAATCCGATTCATCAAAAAGCAAATGATTAAAACAAAGGAAACAAAGAAAGAAATTGTAACATACCCAATTAGTCCACCAGGACAAGCTAAATCTCCTTGGTTTGTAGATAGCAAGCCACATGATGCATGGAAGCTGAAAGTTCAAAGAAAATGCATTGTTAGCACGAAAATGTTAGTCCTCAGGAGATCTTGCTGACTACATTGAGCTTTTCAATCATTCGAGACTTACGAAGTATGTTGTTGGAGCAAAAGCAAATCCTCCAAAAAATCCTAGGAGACCACCGAAGAATGGGAAGGTGATAGCAATAAACATGGTGATTGCTGCAACAAACATTGTGCACGTTACAGATCATAGCATATCGACTGAAAATGGTATAGAAGCCCCTAAGAGTGAGTGTACTCACCCACATACACATTACGCACAACAAATCGAAGCATTTTACTAGGCCTGAATTTCAGTTTCTTCACCAGCACGGTTTCAATCATGTCAAATACTGGCATTGCATAAATCTAGATCAAGAAACACAGAACAACAATTTGGTTAGTTTCAGGTGGAAAAGGGAGAGCTGCAGCCTCCAAAAAGTACAAGTCACAGCAAACTATCTTCACCTGATAGCTTCCAATGACATGGATAACGACAAACATGTTAGCCATAGCAATGAGCCATGCTGGTTTCTGTAACGTGATGAGAATGTTGTCCTCAACCTGGTTTCCAAACATCCAATAACCAATGAGAGCAACTGGGAAGTAGCACAAAGCCACGACTATATAGGCAACAACTACTCCTCTCCACATGGGACCCTTGGATGGCTTCTCTGGCGTGGATGGGATTGTTGCTTGGATCTCCAGCACCACGTTGTGCCCGGCATAGGCAAAAGCCACATCCCCAAGGGCACTAAAGAAGTTAAACACATTTCCTGCAGTGCTGTGACCTCTGTAGCTATAATCTACGTTGTCTACAACACCCTTGTTCACAGAAGCTGCCCAGGCAATTGTGGAGTAACTGTAGCACGAAGAAAAGATATGCAAAATTTGTTTGTTTGGTCATGTGTATCTATCTATTGGAAGCAAGCTAAAGGAAGGGCCATATACGTAAACACACCTCAAGGACATGACCGCTGCTGCCAAAGATACACCTGAAATAGCGTTGAAGTTGGGGAGATGGGATAGCACAAAGTGAGCAGAAGCGAAGATCATGATGAAGTAGGTCAATTTGATCTTATGGCAGTTGGAACAGACGGTGTCATGGAACTTCTGCAATGACTGTCCTCCAGTGACCATGTAGACAATGTTGACCCCAATTTCAACCACAAGCTGCTGAGGCACCACAATGTATAGGCCCAGCTTTTCACCGAAAGCATACTGACCCAGTTCATGGTATCTGTCAAAACGCCTTCCCGGAACCATTTCGTGCATCTCAACCATTTGCCAAAGAGTATAAAGAGTAATGATCCATGAGAGGACTAGTACAGTCACACCAGGACCCCTGCGGAAAGAAAAACATTGTAATCGTCAAATGGACAAACACCTGGCGTGCACTACATGTTGCTTGAAATGTGGCAGTTATCTTACCATCCTAGCTCGGACATGGCATAAGGGAGACTGAGCACACCAGCTCCAACCATGGCTGTAACATTGTGAAAAGCTGAGTAGTACCACTTCGCATTCCTTGCAGAAGTAATTGGAAGCCAATCATCTATTTCCTTCTGCTTGGCTAATTGTTCTTCAACCTGTTGAATTCACATAAACGAATAAATGAACACAGTTCATCTCATTCACAGGAACAAAATAAACAGAAATGTAATAATGAATCAGAAAAATCCAATTGTGATGGAATTTAAAAACTCGAGAAAGGGGGGGTTTGGATTTTGGAATCTTATGGGAGTTGCCTTTTCAAGGGGCATTCGAAGTAATTGTTGAATGTAAGTGAGGATTTTTTCGCTTTACATACATGATTGCGGGTCCAATGATCCGTCTAATCAAAACCGAAACACGGACAACACACTAAGGGAGTCCCAAACCTTTCGGAGGTACAATACAAAAGCAAAGGCTATTCGTTCGCTCGCAAAGTGCTTATCTTCACGCGGGAACACACGACAACAGCTACGACTTTTGGCATCTTCTCATGCCCCACAAAGCTTGGCTACAAATTTCTTTTTCCTTTTTTTTTTGGTCCCCAGAAGAAAAATCTTGATTGATTCGCAAAGAAACTACTACGTCAGAAAATATGTTCGTTTTAACAATATATATATATATATATATTACATTATAAGAAAAAAAATAATTTAGCGTCATGTAGAGATAATAAAATTACATCAAATAGGTCAATTAAACCTCTTTATGAACTTTCTATCCTTCATAAGACAGAATTTGAACCGGAAATGAAGACAGCAATTCGCCGAGATTTTGACAATTATTTATATAAACCTGTATCTCATGTCATGTACTTAAAGCATCACCCAACTGGCTAATTAAAAACTGATGAGACGAAGGTTGGGTAACAGTGTGGAAAAAAATGAAGGAGCGTCGCCAAGCCTGCCATTGGAATTACGATAACAACCTTTCCCCTCTATACAACACACCACATAGCAAGGGCACATTTGGGCATATATAATTAACGCTGGCATCATATTTTTTAATGCTCGCCAATCAATTACGGCATTTACTTTTTGTTATCATGCCAAGTGGCAGCAAGATAAGTCAAATAGTGGCGAGACAGTGATGTACTTTTATTTTAAAAAAGGGGACTAAACCAGCGTATTTCACGTATCGGCTACTATTCAAATAGGACGAGATGTGTTTGACACGTCCTAGTGGGCTGGATTATTGATTTAAATGTATGCGTCCACTGTCCCCGTACTGATTTTTTTTTTTTTTTTCAAAACGTAAATTCGGAATAACATTTTGGTTAGACATGGGGGAACGCAGGTCGTCGGTTCTCTCCCTGGCTGTCATCCTGCTTTTTTTTTTTTTTAAAAAAATAACAATCAAGATCTGTTAAAAAAAATTTATATTAATCAAGAATAAATTATTGCTAAAATTTAAATAAATGATTGTTAATTTAAAATAAATTATTATTTAAAATCAAATAGATATTTATTAATAATAGACTTATCTAAATCAATAAATATTCATTTAAATTTTTATAATAAATGATCATTAATTGATATAAATAGTAAATTGATATTTTTCTCTATTTTTCAGGAATAAAATATCTTAAGGTCCGCTGGGAATTTCTAATTAAAAGGGTGAGACTATTCATTTTCAAAAACACTATTAATTCAACGACCTTTAAAATTTCTACAACTACCTCCGATCGATGGCTGAGTTGAAAGGTCGGTGGTGGTTTCCCAATTGCACAGTATTTGAAACTAAGGGGGGTAGAAAAAGGCAGCATATGGTTCAGGAGAAGATCGCATTGCCCCAGAATAGTGCAGGATTATAGGATGTCATGCATCACTCACCGATATCACGTGAGTGTGCTGCATCTGAGACGACAAAAAGGTCATAGATTCATGTTATGAGAAGATTCAAGAAACGAGAGGCCATTTCCAGGGCAAGGGGGATCACGGAGATGAAGGGAAGATCAGACGTCAATCGGTTGGAATTGGATATCACCCCTCCCCGGCTTGTTTTCTTTAATTTCTTTGTTAAGTACATATTTCAGAAACATTCGCAGAAACTAAAATAGGAGCAAACAAGAAAGAAGTACGGTAGAAAAAATAAAAGGAGAACTGGTGGGAAAGCATGAGAGAGAGAGAGAGAGAGAGAGAGAGAAGGACATACAGAGTGAGAGCGAGCATAAGCATCGTTGCTTGGTGCTTGAGTTCCCATGACGAAAGAGAGGAAGGCAGAAAGGAGAGATCGGCTCGGCTCTGATAAAATTAATTGGAGGCTTCAGGGGGATCACAGGGCACGCGTCTTGTATATATAACAAGCGATGAAAGCCAGTTCGCAAGCTGGGGAGAGAGTGATTGTGACGTTCAATTTGTTGACTTTTCAAAAGCACGCCATTTTTATGTTGTACACTTTAATTTAAAACACAGTGCGTTGAAATTCACTAATTATCTCCTCAATAATTTGATTTTTTATCATAATTTTCAAAATTTAAGTCAAATTTAATCATGTGATTTCTATAATTCTAATTCCATTCGTGCTACGTTCTTAAATTTTTACTCCGTGTATTTTATTCATTTATATATATTGCTTCCATTTTTTAACTAAAATAATTTTTATGATCCTTGCCGATATTTTTCACCTAAAATAATTTTATAAATACATTACAAAATACGGCTCAATTGAAAATTTTATAACCTGGCTGTAAAGTATATTTTAAAATAAAATATATATTTTATATTAATATTTTTGGCCAACATATATTTTTAATTAATTACGTGAAAGGATTTCTTCCAGTTTCAGATATTCAATGTGAAATTTTGATAATTTTGTTTTGACAAGTGATTTTGGATAACTTGGATCTAATCATTCAAAATTTTACAAGTGATATCGGAAAAAAAAAATGTTAACTTGCTAATTTATTCATTTTGAGTGGACTTGTAGACACCTTTTTTAAAATTAAAGAATTACGGACTCACATTTGTTCTTCAATAAACAAGACACCAAATTCGGGAGAGACTTCCAAAAGAGGCAACAACATTTGTTTGGAAGTAAATTTTGCGTGTAATTTATCAATATTTGTTTTACTATTTTATGACTTATTGATATGCATGGCCTTTTTTTCCCGTATTTGTTTAACCTGACACGACTACGGTACTTGGTAATTAATAGTAATATTAATATTAATATTAATAATAAGAGGAAAGCGTTGATTAGAAGAGGAGGACGCGCTTTTCCCTATTTGCAAGATGTGGATTCTGTTCCACTCCTCGGCATAGGTCATAGGACAAATTTGATAAGCTTCGTTTGTATTAATAAAGGTTAGTTATAATTTTGAGATTGTAAAAAAAAATTGTAACTTTTAAATTTTACTGTTTTTTGTAATTAATGACCATAATAAATTATTGTTTAGAAAATTTAAATGACAATAAATAAATACTGGATAAAATTAGAAAAAATATTAATTAATCTAATTTTCGTCTTATATTTAAAACAAAAAAAAAATCATTCAAATGTTATCTTATATTAAGGGTCTTAGGGAGTATGCAATGGAAGTTGACTGTCGAAGGTGGACGTCCCACAGGATCCGCCCCAGGGTTTTCTTCTCTCTGTTTTTTTTTAAAGAAAACTCTAAAAAACTTCGAACTCCATGGTTCACTTATTGCGAGACACTTATTTTGAAGTACTGTATTATAAAATATAGTCAATGAGGAGGTGTAATTAAAAATATTTGTTAATTAAAATATATTATTAAATAAGAATAAATATAAAAAAACGTATAATTTTAAATGTCATTTTTATATAACAGAATACAATTTTAATTTAAATGTCATTAACTGATTTTATTGAGAGTATAAATTAGTAAAAAGAAACGCCTCACAGTAAAAAAAAAAAATACCCATACCATGTATAAGCTCGGGTGAAGATCATGTGTTTTTATACAAAAGTAATTTAGAAAAGGTGTTAATTTATTTCTTCAGCAAGATCACGGGAGACAGGCTGCGGGTGGTGAACCCTGAAAGTGGGCATATCAGATGATGGAGATTGGAGGGTGAATGAATCTTCGAAGGCAGTTCCGCTGGCGTTAATTATTATTTTATTTCATCTAACTTTTGGCAGATGCACCTCCTCTTGGATCCTCGTACTTGTAACGGTACTTGTCGTCTCTGCTCTCAAGGATCATCGTGAGTTTGAACTTGAAATCGTCTTACACTGTGTCTAGTATACATGTCCTTTTCCTTCTGCACACGGGAGACAAGCAAGAATACATATGCCAAAAAAAAAAAAAGATATGGAAACAGATCATTAATGATTGATGACTGTGCAGCGACTCCAAGAAAAAATATCTTTGCATTGTTACGATGCCCTAACTTTCATAGGTTTCAAACACATTTTCTTTGCCTCCCACTGCTCTTCATTTCCTGGACTCCCCTTAACATATTACTATATTTTTTGATAATTTTAAATATTAATAAAGTTCAATTGTTATAACTGACCTAAATTTTTATTGAATTCAAATCTATCAAGCACCAAACATATATTTCCACACCACATCGAAACAATCTTGTACACCAATGTCATCAAAACATCCAGCTAACTGTCACCATGTTTTTCACTGACATATTAAACACTTTTTTCATTTAAAAATATAAAATATTTTTAATTAAATATAACGCTTAATAAAGTAATTATTTATTTTTAAATTAATATTATATTTCTATATTTATAGACATTTAATAGCGCATCAAGGCCGTTTAAATCTCAAGGCCAATTAGGCTGCTGCCTTAGGCTTCCAAAAACAAAAATAATATCCGATTTGTGTGTGTGTGGTATGTATATAATTAATGTTTGTATTGTTATATATTTAATTATAGATTACAGAGAATAAAAAGTATTGATTGTTTTTTTAATTGAAAAAAATTTCAATCACTTTCAATATAACTTTAATTATTCGACTGAGCCTATTATGATAAGAATCAAAGGACGAGTTAAGATCCAACATTTAATATCTTTGATTCGTTGCAGAACATTAAAGGATCAATAACTATATCCATAACAAAGAGGATGAAAGAAGTCCTAAATTTATTAATTAAGGGTGTTCTAAATGATTAAGAAATCTTAAAGGCAAATGAAGTTATAAAAGATCAAAAAAAGACTTTTAGCATATTATTTTTTAAAGTTTTGAAAATTAGTTTATTTTATTTTATTTTCATATTTAAGTTTAAAAGAAATTAATTTATTTTGTTTTAAATTCAAATAAGGATAAAACGTAATATCCGTCTTGATATTACCAAAATACAAAACACAAACACATAACACCATTATGATAACCACAATTAATTAATTCTTTATATAAAATTATCATAACACAAGGGTTTACAAATCAAGTTTAAAAGATTTGGGATCCCAAGATCCTTTTTGAGAAGATGTTTGAACTCAAACCTTAGTTTAAGACAAGTAAAATGAAGTAATGGAAGCATAAGTATACAAATTAATGCATATAAGGATTAACAAAGGGCAATTTGGACACTTCCTAAATTGCACCATTTGCCGTGGCACAGGTGTCATCTGTCGCCGTGGATGGCATGGAGGGCTCACTCTCTTCACTGTATAATACACCATGGCACATCTCTGTTGTCGTAATAGCACTTTGGGACCAACTTTTAGAGTATGTTGTTTCACCATTCAACATTCGATTTGAGTTATTCAAGTATTCACACATAACTTTTAGAGCCACTTAGCCAATAGCACTAATTTCACTACAAACAAATTCCCCAAATAAAAGTTAAACACCTAGACATAAAACTATCATTTTTCCTTTCAAAACACACATAAGGGTGTCCAAACTTGTCAACCAAGTGCTAATAACCCTAAAACCACTTGAACCAACTCAAATAAACCACGATTAACCTAACTGAGCAATCATACAATAACAATTACATCCTAAACATAAATTGGCCATTAAAACCTTATTTTTACAATAATTCCAAAGGATGGCAATAACCACATATATCAATCCTCTTAACCAATCAACTACACAAACAATACAATAACATTACCTGCAGTCTTGCACTAATATATCAAACCCTTACAATAATCTTACCATAATTACATTTTTATAAGTCAAGATATCCATAATCCACATATATTATCATGCAAGTGTATCAAACAATATATGTCCAAAAGTTGGCATATTAATATAACTCATTCATTACAACTATTAAAAGAAAAGGAGAATAGTTATACAAACTTAGGCTCTTCAAACTCCAGCAGAGTATTCCTTCCCTTGTCTCTATCGAAGTCTTCACCTGTAAAATATAACTATGGGGGTGAGTCGAAGACTCAATAACTAAATAATCTAATTTATTTACCAACATACAAAAATAGCATATGAGTGTGTGAAATGGTAAATAAAAACATTTGTTAGATACATTTTCAATACATGATATCATATAACAAATTATATAATACACGATTAATATTCTCCACCTTATTTTTTTCCTATTGAATCTAAGGACTAACAATATAATAGGACTAAGTCTATGTAACTGGACTATAGTATAAGCTCATCAATTATGGGAAGCAGCCCAGCCAAAGCGCCTTCGTCCATTGTGGACAACAGATTCCCCCTTTCATCAAATATTCGAGATATTGTATGGCCAATTTATCTCAAATAGTACTAAAACTTTTAAATAAGAATAAAATTGTGCACTAAGACCTTCACGATACCAATATATCATATGAATTTTATACAAATATCCCCTGATAATTTTAAAGTAAACTCTCACCCTCTCACAATAATCATGCTCATACAATGCCAACATTACATATTATTCACAAGAAATGATCTTATAATATTTACTCGCATTTTGTAGTCTTATCCGATTTCGCAATTGGTATAAACACATATAGAAAGGGTTTTTATGCATATAATAATATCAGTTTAGTACTACTTCACATAAGTTTTTCAAAATATCAATAAGTTATGCATAGTTCAGGATTTTTCATAATGGAACATAAATATAATTTCACAAACTGATAACCACTCAAGTATACAAGCAAAAAGATTTCATTTTTTGGTTACCTTAATCTTTTCGTCACAAAAAGTATCACCATAGAAAAATTTGACTACTCCACAAATGTCTATTCGTACAACAATACACGATTCATATTTAACCTACAAGATTAAACATTAATCATCAATTATAACTCTAAATAAACCCTTTTTTACATAATTTTGGGTACCCACTATACCCAAAATTCTACTTTAACACCATTAATACTTTTGTTACACTCCATTAATTTTATTTAGCACCCAAATA